GCTTACAGTATGCATCTAAGACAAATACTGTTCGACGTACAATAGCGAATAAATGTCGACAGCACCATAGTCAGACTCAGCAGTAAGCAGTAATTTAATGGTACGATCACTATGTTGTATGGATGGACATTGGACAGAACCTTGGAAGTTTCCTGATAGCACATTCTTCGGACAGACAAGAAACCAAGACCAAATGAGGACGAAAATATCGAAAATTATTTTACTTGCAGTATCAATCTTCTGTGTCTCTTTTTCTTAACCACGTCTCTAATTCAAGAACATGGATGATGTTATAGAACTGTTGTCGTGTAGAACTTGGTAAAATAGAACAGAATTCAATGTAATATTATTCCATTTAGAAAAATTAACACATGACAAAATCAACCATCTGCTTAATGGCATTATGACAAATACAAGTGTTTCAAACAGTATATAGCTAGTATAGAATTTGGCCGTATCAGGTCAAAATGTCCGACCGTCCGAATCGAGTATCTACTGTACTGTAAGCTGTTCGCTCACAGGGTTTAGGTCTGATTCATGAATCCAATCCAAACTAAATGATTTCCTGAATGGAACCTCCAAATATCCCCAGGAAATCCATTCTAGATAGATACACTTGGCTAGATAATCACCCAAAGGTTAGTCATTGGCCAAAAATTGGGATATGTACATGATTAGTGGAATGCAACAGTACGATACAATATTGCAACATGGGTTACGATCCAGCTAAGAATTTCTTTCATCTCTAATTAATGAATCAAGTACTATGCGTAGACTCGTAGATACAAATCCTTATGCTAATAAAATCAAAATTACAGTATCCGTTTTTGGTTTACCTATGATCAAATACTAAACGATGATTTATGTATGGTAAAGTAGCTCAAGATCACACTTTAAAATCGGTTACATCATAGTATAGTACTGTTCTGTATTGTAGGTTACAATACTGAAAAAAAATATACAGTAACTTGTGCAGGAGTAAAAAACTATCAATATCAGATATCAGATACTAAAAACTAGTTAAGATACATGACTTATAATTCTAATGTACTTTCTATACTTTCTATTTATGTATGGTAAAGTAGCTCTAGACCACACTTTTAAAATCGTTTATATCATAGTATAGTACTGTACTGTACTACAGGTAACAATACTGAAAAAAAATATACAGTACAGTAATTACAGTAATTTGTGCAGGAGTAAAAAAACTGTCAATATCAGATATCAGATAATAAAAACGAGTTAAGGTACATGACTTGCACTTCTAATCTACTTCCTATACGTACACTATGCAATACTTTACTCCGAATAGCTTCAAATTCCAATCACGAACTTTATTCGTGGTCTTACACTAATAATAATAATAATAACGAAAGAATAAATGAACGATATAGGTTAACGTACCGGACACACTTCTCATGTAATGAGGGCGTTGTAAATCAATTCCAAGTACAGTACATTAGTAGCCGTTATTTACAGTTGACTTGATCTTAAAATTAACTACAGTATCAGGTAAAAAGCCCATTAGTAGTAAAGATGGCACTATGCTCGTATGCGAGTATGTTTATTGCTAAAAATTGACCTACGATATCCTGCATCTGCACCTTCGCAAGATAAATCTTCTCTAAATGTCTATACTATCTGATGTCTATGTACACAAAATGCCGACCACTTCCAACTTGAGAAACTCAGAAAATAATTGGACGAACTTAGTTGTTAAACATCTACGTACAACTCAGCTGTGTATTGAATACATATCTTATATACGTCATGCAATAGCCCATAAGCGTATTTAATCTACAGTATATGATACCATGTTAGGTTACAGTGCGGCATCTTAATATAGTGGTAGCACTACGTTTTAATGGTGCATGAATATGTATATAGATGTATCACAATTAGTTACATCGTGAATTATATACCGGCAGATACTGCAGATTTTGCATCTTAAGAACGTTATTGACTACACCATCACCGACAGATTAGGCCACTATCTGTATCTATATTATAGTATGTCTGTTTTACCCTTTACATGCCATAGACTTTTTTTAAATTAAGATGCTCCACGATTCATACACGCGTATACCGTACTTGAGGAAGATTAGTTCTTAATCGAGTATGCTGGTATAAGTCGCTATTTACAAAGAATTGCATATTTCTGAAAGTATGTACCTTGGGATTCTGTACAGGCGGAGGAAATTAAAAGATGGAATATTGGCAATTCAACATATCAGAAAGCTGTCCTGCAAGTCTATTTAGATTTATGTGAAGGTAATAGTGCACTCATAGCTTGTATCAAAAATGTAACAATTATTGTTGTTCAATAGTACACGAGTTATTAAACATTTCAGTCAGCATACAGTACATGCGTCAATATTGCACTACAGTTTATTCATTCCAAGCAGACTGATATTTTTAAATGAAGGTGCACATGTATGCAATAATGCAACTGTGATTTGCAGTATAATGTCGCACAATAGTGCAGTTGCTTAGTTATATATTGAATCAACGTACATTTTTACTTTGGGCTTTTTTAATATCGTAGTCAAAAATTGGTTTCAACTAGCGATACATGGACTCCCACTTCATGAGATTATATACATAACGGGAAAATCAGATCGTAAGGTGAGTTTGTAGTTGGATGCAGCATGTACGTGATAATGAAGATTCTTACAATACATAATCTAAGGCTTATATTGGCGTTCTGTTTTACAGTAAACGCATCAGTAAAGCATACAGTATAGTAATATTGAACCAGAAATTAGAAATAAGTAACAATTGTAAACTCAATAATGAAGAAACATATTCTTTCAGATCGCATTAGATATACCTACATTATTTGCTAGGTATTTACGTAATTTGAAAAGATAGCAGGGAACGTAAAAGTTCTATCCACGAATTAGAATATAACGGCCAATTTATTAATATACGTAAAATAAACACAACGAATATCAGCACAAACAAAATCGTGTTCATCACTTATTCAGTTTCGTAATAGCGTAAATTGTTATACAACCAATTTCCTATGTCATTAATGCTTACTCCAAAGGTATTGTGTACAATGAACTAATCAACCCATTGATAATATTGCCTTAGAATCAAAGTAGTGTCGTTCTACCCGTCAACGCTCAATCGAAGACAACTATGACAAGGTTTAGCAAAGATTATAACGCAAGATTTTTTATCAAGTTACTTTATCAACAAAGATAATAAAACTACAATGATACGTTATTATCTTATAAATTATTTTATTGAATTTCGAAATCTTTATCTGATTAATAGATTACTCGAGACTATCGATCAAATTTCCGACAACAGGTTAGACATATGACTTTGCGATAGCGATAATGACGCTTGAGAGCGGTACCTTAATTAATTAAACCTCTTTCGATAATCATATTTATATGTCCTTTGTTGATAATTATTATTAATTACTACTTCAACCTTAATGTGAAGCAATCATATATAATACTGTAATTGTAGATTTATTGATAGCAGTATTAAATTAAATTTACTTTATCTAGTAATATTCATAATTATGGGGAAACTATTATATGATGCTTGCATCATAGTATCATAGTCACAAAGCTGAAGTACCTCGTCGTAATAATTTTAATGTGCGAGCGTAATTAGTCAATATTTGACAATACTGCAGCGAACAAACGTAATATAAAAAAATATTGTAGCAATAACGTTGTACCATGGTTGTTCTAAATCATTAATGCCTTTATAATAATCGTTAAAAATTCGATTAACCTATGCTTTAACTGATCGTGTTTCATTATTCATTGCGTGCTAAAGATCAATTGTTTTGGCTGTATATGAAAGCGACTCAACGATAGTATATTATGAATTGGAAAATCTTGGTCTCAATGATGTATTTCAGTAATCTTGTCTTAAAGTCGCAAAATTGTTTGTAAAGCGTTCGACTCAATACAACAGAAGGCAAAGAGGGTATGCGTACGCATTTACTATTACTGTAAATAGCGTGCATGCATATAGATTTCTTCTAATCTTACTATAAAAATCAAATGTTTAAACAGTCATCATGTTCGTAGATCGAAAACTATTTATAAGATTAAATGAAGTTTCACCTGTTTAACTATATCGCGCAGTTCATTTTTGTATATTGCAAGCAATTGTGATGGAAAATATGTAATGATACTAACAAATGAAGAGCACTTGGCATTGTGAATATAGCCCATCATTGTTTTTAAAGTTTTATCAAAACTTTTATAATCTAATGTTAATAACGTTACATTCAAGAAACTGTTTAGTTAAATCATTTTTACGTTACTATGAATTAAATTGTACAAGAACTAGATTGTTTCTCTCTACAGTATACTATATATTTAAATCAAATGTACTACTATAGAATAATACTGTATCCTCATAATAAAAATTAAACGCAGAGTATGCGTGCTTATCGCAACCTTTTTATAACCACAAATGAATATTAGGAATTATGACTTGTCACAGACTTCCTAACAAGTTTACTAGGCTAACATAAAGCACCACCTAATCTTACTTTCTCATATCACTGCCCTAATCTGTCGTAAAATCTAATAACGCTTATATTACAAATAACGTTCATAACTTTCATTTTTGGGAATAAGCTTGAGTTACGCAAAGTTACCCTAGCATATTAATTCACAGTTTATTAAGTGCAATGCAATCTTGGCATTTCTTATTCCGTAACGTTCTAACGCTGTAAACGTCAATGTTTTTACAAACTGTAATTGTAGACAACGTAGCTTTACACTGCTATATTACAAGCATTACATCCGCTATAAACAGTGTAACATAAAGTACCACTGATTAATTAATAAGTACATTCCGAAGTTGTATCCCACTAAAACATGCATTCGATTGTTAAATTCCCAAATTTGGGGACATGTGATAACATCGCAAACATCCATGCGCGATTTGAACTTTTGTCACTAACGTCAGTACTAAGGATACTAAATACTAACAATAGAGAGCAACAAGACTGGATGAAAGGTTCTGTTAGTTTATTCTTATTGTAAATGGAAGTGCAATTTATCTTAAACGTACATTGAAGCCTTTTACTTGATAGTGTTAACTCGGAAGATATAACACAGCATTAAGTGAATCTACTACATCCGGATGATCTTTCGCCAGCCTGCTGGCATGAAACTTAACATCATGATTAAATAACACAACTTGTGCATTTAGCATTCCGGTAAGTAATTCATATGTCATTGGGCGATAACTGTGAATGATGTATACAATACATTCATAAACAAGAAAGCGATCAATCAGTACAAAATCAAATCGCAACTTATACTAAATAGCGTTCTAATAAAGTGGCTAACGCTAAATTAAAGCTCACAGAGCTGTAGTCTATATATTCTTTTATCGGTATACAAATAGTTTCTAGGTGTAGTCTAGCTACTACCACTGTAAGACTCAATGGTAACAATAGCTTACCAGGCTATTTTGAACAAGTTATGAAGATTGGTTGTGAACGTAGACAAGATTACTCACGTCAACTAACCGCCCATGTATACAGGTACATGGGTAATATATGATCTTATTCCACACTAATAAAACTTCAGTGAAGTATAAAATATAAATACAATCATACAGTACAATACATTTAAGCAACTGAGGAATTTGTATGATTTGCCAAATTAACACCAGTACAGGTTTACTAAGTTTGCATCAGGACAGTATTATTGACAATGCTAAAATATCTGCATGTCCAAAGGACAGATTTGTCAGGTTTCTTTCATCTCATCATCTCGCGAGCTTACTTGACCATAGCCACTCCTCCAGATACTACCAATTCCAGATTGGTGCGATCTAAAATTTATAAGAGTATTAATATATTTCACTGTCAACATAATTTTATTATTATTATTATTGTAATACATCAACATCTAAACGTACTATGTAAACAAGGATTCAAAATTTTTTATAAAAGACCTAAATATCAAAAGCCAACTAATCAACACATGAAAGAATATCACAAGACTATAGGAGCCCTTTACTCACCAGAAGCGTTCGATTCCGCTGAAAAATCGTGGCTATTTTATGAAATGAAACGTGATTAACAAAAATGTCGAATTTGGCATATTTTAACTCCATATTTTGAAATAAATCTAACCTGTTAATAATTTCGTTCACAACATCATCGGCATTTATTCTTGAATTGTACAGACCACTGCCTCGATACTAAATAGTATTAGATGATATTACATAAAAATAAAAAAATGTCAGCTACTAAACTAAATATTCAAAGTAATCCTTTTACTTCTAACATTACCTGCTGCTTGCCGTAATAGCCTTTTCTCCGCTCATGCTCGCCAGAACCAGAACTATTGTCACTGTCGCGCCGAGATTGTGAGTTATTGCTTGAAGACGATCCCGAGTTACGCGATAAATCGCTATCGGTACGTCCGTGCATCATATTTGACCCCGTATCTCTATTCGCGCCTAGATTTACCATATCCATAGATCCATGAGCACGAGCCCGACTAGGCGAGATTACTGGTTTACTCGTTGTGCTAATTCTGCCATGCCAAGTGAGATTTTTTGAGCTCTCGCCGCTATTACTATTGTGAGAACGATCTCTCAAAGTAACTTCAGGAACCGGCCTATAGTGGTTATAATAGTATAAATCGATGTATCACATGTCAGTTAGCTTCATATCAATCCAAATACCATCACTACTAAAAGATTAGCACAAACATAAATACATCGTATAGCAGTTTCTAGCATAAAATGTTGTAACTCAGCAAGATTAGTCAATAAATTATACTTACGCTTTAAAAACTGGATCTCCAGAAATTAAACTTAAGCGCACATCAACCTAATTATAGAATGAATTGATTATCATCTTCAACAATTTAACCAGTATTGCCATTCAACATCATATTAAATAGTTATCCCATTAATTCTTACCTTTAATATTGAATTGCTCTGACGATGAGAAGAATCATACCCTTCTAGTAGAAATCTGCGCGCAGTCTTGCCTCCCGTAAATTCTGAGAGATTAAGATCAACGTAGCCCAGCTGCAATAAAACAAAAAAATTTTGTTTTTGAAGCAACTCTGTTTAAATTTCTGCTACTGAAATTTGATAAGTAATCTTGAGCGAATACGAACTAGCCATAGCTATACGAACGTACGGTATATTGTACTGTATCCTACAATGCTAGAAAATTTGTATCAAACTTCATGACTATCATGTTGTGATAAGAAATGTAGCTGAGTATGTAAACGTGCAAAGACATCAGTGAGTAAGTACATGACAAATACAACGGTTCATCAAAAAATGATCACTCTTCCATACAATGAGTGACCCTGCAACTAAACAATACGTTGAAAGTCGTTATAAAAATAAGCATATAATAAAATTCGCATTTCTTACCTTCTGACACTTTTGTCCACCTTTTATTTCCTATATATGGATAAAAAAATTTATACAGATAGTTAAGCTTTCAAAATACAAATTACTGCGTAATAGTGAACTGCGTCGGAGAGAGGTGCCACTCGTAGTACTTATGGGTGTGCCAGATTAAATAGTTACTGTAGTGAGCCAATCACTTTAATATACGTATTTATTATCTACAGTAACCAAAACTTTAAAACACAACTAATGACAAAGTTCGCTCCCTCATTACCCATTGTACTGTATAATTCTGTATAATTAATTATCTTACTGTATTGACTTATAAAACAGCACGTGATAAATACGAAAAGGTTCGATTGATGAGGGTTATTCAGCAAAATTTTTATTGCAAATGTAAATAGAGTTCATTAATCACATCTTTTTGTAATATACAGTACAGTACATCCATTATCTAATATATAATTTCATAAAATTCTGCATCAAACCCTATCTATCTTTCTGCATTAACTGACTATAAATATGTCACATGTACAGTAAATACAGAATAGATACTTTTTTAAAAGGCTTTAACGTAGAGCCTCCAATAAAGAATTGATTTCTTTCCTTTATATTTACTTTACTACTGGACAAGATACTGTACGGTGTGTTAAACGCTCACATGGAATAAACGAGGCGTTTCATCGAACATCGAAAACCGACTATAAAACGCAGTGACGAAGATAACCTGTTATCTGTCAGTAAACAATAAAATCATCCGGGAAATCACCACAACTACAAACAGTACTGAAATTACTAAAATACAAATACAGTAATGTCCATTGTCCAATTTTTTACTGTATAATTTAACGGCGAATGGTCCTTTATTAGGTTTTTTTAATTTAAAAAACCTCTAACAGGTGTAAATACACCTCCGTGTATCTAAGCCTCAATTGATGCATATATCCAGTACAGTATTGAATTGAACTAAATATTATTATTGTTATAAGAACACTATATTTATACTAAGTATCACCGGCGATACATTCTACTACAAGTGATTGCTTCTGACCAATGAATATTTGCGGAAGTTCGATGCCCATGATAATCATAAGAGGTGAAATAGTCATGATCATCGGAGGGCCTGCTGTCAAATGCATGGTGCAGCACGATTAATTTGTAAGCCACAAAAATCGAATATTGTACCATATAAGCTAGTCAGTAACGAAGGTATTTAAGCTACAATAAATTAATAAGCAATTAATTATCAAACTTTTATATAAACACTTTGTTCAGTACTAATATACGCGTATTAGCTCCGGTGGGGATTTGCAAATAAAAATATATATTCAAGACTGTATATTAGAACTATTCTACTAGAAATCTTAACTAGTTTCTACTTAGCAGCTAAGCAATTTTGCAGTTAGAATCAATAAGTCATGGTTAAACTTTAAATATCCTACAAAGTGCGCTTGTCTCCAATTAAAATTGTACAGATACATTTGCTATCTCCAATATCATTGGCCTGTACTAATTGAATTGAGAAAAAATGTTGATTCCATTTTAACTTGGAGACGTGCAGTCTCCTTACAGGAGTTATTCGGTAACTAAGTGATTCGGAAGACAAAACCATAAGACAACATATGGCTAAGTCGTACGGTTTCCTTTTATCACACTTACTAAGATTCTTTGTCTTGCATAAATGCTGGCCATGGTGAACAATACAATTACAGAAATACAGTTCTGGCAGTTTTTGACACCATTCATCAATAAAAAAATAAGTACCACAGGCAAGCAAACAAAGAAAAAAGTATATAATATTTCTAGTTTCTTCCCAAAATGTGATGACATCTTGCGTAAAAAAATGTCTATATACAACGGCATGTTTACGGATACATTTTTGCGGGATCATGACGTAGTGTATAGTGTACTGTACACTATAACTGGCGGTCTTTACTACTGTACTGTATCGATTTTGAACTGCTGAACGGGTGGGTCTCTGTTATGGAAATGTTCAGCACAGCCGTAATGGTACAGTACGGAACTCGACTGGACAAACAAACAGTCTAAATCCTGGCTAGTAATATTATTTTTGTTAGTGCTAATTATATTTTTCCACGGTCTCATCCATTTTTGTACATCAAATACAAACTCAAGACGAAATATAGATTGATCTCAGGTTCGTTCCATCGTAAAATGCGATACACTATCGTCCTTCTGTGGACGATTTTTTGGACAAAAAACAAAAGAAGAAAAAATTCTCGAAACATACTGTTAAGCCGCGCTGCCCCGTACTAATATTCACGCAAGCGATCCAGCAAACCACTAATTATTGCCTATTGTATAATACAGCACCTGATAGGCTGTATATCTCACTAATCAATAAAATCGATGATAAATACGCTACGCCGTTATGGTAATTGTACGAAAATGTTGGTTATATGGTTATAGCATGATTCGAGATGGCAAGGTCTCCTTTTCATCATAAATAATAAAAAATATAAACTCTAAGCTTGCATCATCGAAACAGTTATAAGGAAATTGCATCCATAGTACATTTGCATTGCTTCACAGCACCGCATGAAGATGAAATAGCGTTATTCTAAATTTAGTTTGGCTAACTTAACGGTTAGAAGGCGGAAATCATAGTAACGCTATCTATTAAAATTGATAACAAGACGGCGTTAAGTTGACCTTACTCTTCGTTCTCTCCCCTGTATACTTAATTAATACTAGCAGCATACAACGCTAGAATGCTGTCAGTGGAAAAATTTTGATTTATAGCTTATAACTTGGAGCGATATTGGATACATTTTAACTTAATGCTCATTAGAAATTAAGATTTATACAATGTTGAAAGATGGAACTATAAATTCAGAGAGCTAAAGATAAAGTTACCTTTCGTATCGAAACTCGACAACAGCAGTTTTCTAAAATACCAGTTTCTTCGTTAGCTGATATTTTACATGAAAATTCGTATTCCGATTGCCAACTAACAGAATGATTACGAATTTCTTCCCTACAGTTGAAAAAATAGATATTCTTAAGCGTATTGCAAGGCTAGAAGTAAAAGTATACAGTGTATCATGCTGTAACCAGCAGCATTTCTAAATATTCCCAACGACATCCAGTACTGTAATATCATACTAAAAAATGGCTTTCAATAAAATAATCGCAGCACTATTATTTTTAGCTATTAGAAGTACATCTATTATATTACATCACATTATTGTTACTGATGAGAATACGTAGCGGCGATCTCACTGAGTTTATGAGGAATTCAAACCGTTCCCGAGTAACTGTTGTCAAAGACTAACATTTAGCAGCACCACGTCCATTGACAATTATCAACTATCAAATTGGTCATAATACCATAATTTTTACAACTATCCAAGTCAGCCTATTCTACTCCTATTATCGATAGAAAGTCAATTTTTTATTTAGCTGCATTATTATTTTAAAGGTAAGAGTACTGGAATCACTATCGATTCCCCTACTCAATGAACAAAGTCGTCATGTCATGGATTGAAAAAAGAAAAACGGCAATCCACTGTGGTGATGTTGAGTAAAATTATTGATTCGTTACCTTGGCGAAAAGGCTACAAATTTACCCCCATGAAGTAAGCGAATTTTAGCAAAGAGAGCACCGTTGACAAACGGAACAGAGACTAATTCTTGTAAATGAAATTTGACTTGAAACTTAAATTTCTTCTTCATTTCTTTGCAGTGGTTTTGTCTTTTTCAGTGAATTTTTTCTCGGCGTAGTCGCGACCGGCGTGACTACCTACGTGTACGATCAGCAAAAACTGAAGCAAACCTGTTCAACTAGTACAGTAATCACTCTATGCCCTTAGATACAGTACACTGCAGCCCACGTACCGTAGACGTTTCACCTTGTACAATGTACTGTATTGTACAGTATGAATTGTACCATGATTGTACTGTACGGACAGTACTGTACTGTATACAACTTTAGTTAAGGATTTCCAAAGAGAAAAAAAAAGGACGAATGGACAGGCCTGGTACGCATAACTGCCCAACAGCATACACTCACTGTATGATATAAAGGCCAAAAAGCACCCAGCCACCTACTCATAATTCATTATTATTATCATTTTATTTTATTTATTTTATATCATATATATTATTTTGGACTGTCAAGAAGAAGAAGAAGAAGAATTCAAAACAATTGAAGAAGTCACGTGGTAGTGGGCGTTTTTGACGTCACCAAGTATGAATGGCTTTCAGGATAATTTGTTTGTTCGCCTTTACGCCCAGTACACTACTACAGCAACTCAGCAAGGGATTCAAATACGGAGCTTAAAAAGTTTTAATTTTTAGCCAAGGTACTACAGTAAAGTTGCAGTGCAGTCCACGGCCAACTGTTCTTCCAGTAGTAGTCCCTAGCCCCTGCTGTACATCATGAGCAGTACTAGTACTGTACAATGTACATACTGTATTGTACTACTATAGTAAGAAGTTGAACCCCTCAGGACGAGAGAGCCCTTGGATTGCGCTATCTTAAGAATTTAAGAAAGCTACCTTTGTTTACTGCACAGCACAGTACCGTACGGCAAGTTTTCGTACGATAGTTTATTCAGCTTATTTGTATATTATACACTATACTGTATACCTCTTCCTTTTTACTACTACAGTATACTGTACAATTTAATAATAAGCCAGCGTGCAGTAAACACTGGCAAATAAATAAGTATAATAAGCAAATAATAACTAAATTATTATAAAATTATCATTACAAGTGAATGATTTATTTACTTCACCGAAAGTAAACATCACGATACAGATGTAAGGACGGATTCTAAAATCCTACAGTACGGTACAGTACGTACAGTACTGTACAGTATCTCTATCCCACGCTGGTACAGAAGACAAACAGCTTTTCTATCACATCTACAGTGCAGTATACTGTACTGGAATGCAACGAATTAATGAGCAGCGGCGCAAGATGCTGGCTGCAATGCTGGAATAGTGGAATTGCTAATTGCTTCTTCTAACCTGAACTCTTTAGGCCTGCGAAATCTTCCATTCATTATCTCTAGATACTGTACAGGACGGTACCGATTGAACTCATGTATTTATTATTAATTAATTAAGAGCTATGCAAGTATGCATAGGCGTTATTATTAAGTGATTTTATACCGGATGTTGGATGTGATCATACGATCATATCAGCAAGTCGCTAGCTACCGTGATATAATCAGTTAAAGATAGATACAGTAGATCTAAAGTTATATTGACACTATTTGCAGATTATAAATTTAAATTGAACCACGAACTGCAAATACTGTTAGTGTTGCTAGTTTAGTAATCTTAGTAATAGCCATCTTCTTATGCTTGGATATTGACTGTATTATACGGTATAAGCATCTGAAGTAGCATATGGTATGAATGAAGGAACTGATGGTAATAACCTTCCGGAAGTTACCTTTATCAGCCAGTGGCCTCCGGATAATGACGAAACCGAGAGCTTAACCAAGTCGCATAAAAGGAAGATAGCAGATATTGATCAAGAACAGCCTGACAATGACCCTTATGAGAAACGAAATGTAACAACGCATGCAAATAGTTCGCAAAATTCAAGCTGTGACGTTGATGACCAAGAGCACAACTTTCTCTGGGCACTTCCAAGCATTGCACGATGGTGGAGGAAGCAAGTTGCCAAAGAGAAGATAATTTATAAAGGCGTTACTGATTCTGCTGTCGTTGCAAACACCAAGCTTAAACGCATATTAAAGTCGGTAATCATCAATCTTACCTAGAAAGATTTAATTGAAATACATTATAATATTATGCTACTGTGTATCTGATAATTTATCATCACGTTGCATCAATATACATATTTTAGGAGATCCGACTGTCAGCTGTTCATCGAGGAGACCATCCAAAAATTACAAGCCGTAAAGCAAAGATATGAATTGAATGCACATTACTTTTCGGCCTTGGCATCATTCTTTGATACAAGAGGGGACTATACCGAAGCTTTAAATCTTATTGAAAGGTCTCTTCAGGTAGATCAAAAGGCTTGCGATGCTTTATGGCTAAAAGAAAAGATCAGCAGAGCTCATTTTGCGCAAAGAACCAGAGAAAGATTGTTGGCCGAGCACTCTGCCTTCCAGAAGTCGCAGATGCTCAATCCCCTACCGGTGATGATAAAACTACAGCATAATGTGCTACCTATATAATATAAAATAAGCAAATATATCTACGTACATTATACTCGTATGCATGTATAAATGTATGCGTATACTATATACACCTATTAGAAAATTAAAAAGACAAAACTATTAAAAGATCAAATAATTGCTAATAATCTTAAATTAATTTAGATTTTTTTGTACTAATAGTTTTAATTATCCCACCTATGCAGATTGAAAGGAGATCAGCTAAAGATCTCTCATTTAAGGAGTTTCTATCTCGATATGCACTGCAAGCAAAGCCAGTAATTATTACAGATGCTGTTTGCAATATGATCTCAACACCTTGGACCTTTGAACATATCAAGAATGTCGCTGGTGATAGGAAAGCAGCGGTTAAAAGACTAATTCCTGATTCGGTTGAATGGGCAAGACTTGAAATTGCTCGTAGTATGACGGTTAAAGAATTCGTTAATAATATGGATAGTCCTAGCAATTTCAGTTAGTAAACAAATCGTACAAATCGCCTCTCAATTGTATGTTTAGATCACATATAAATCTGTAATTTATTTACACTTTTAGATGACGAACAGTTACTATATCTATTTGACTGGAGCCTGCCCTTAAATTGTCCTGAGTTAGCAAGCGAACTGACTATTCCAAAGTACTTTGCAAGCGATTTTTTGCAACGTACCCCTAAAGGAATCCTGTATCACGATAGTTGGCCAAGCCTTTTCATCGCTCCGGAAGGTGCACGTAGTGAACTGCATATAGATGCTTTTGGATCCAATTTCTGGATGGCATTATTTCAAGGTCGAAAGAGGTGGTTATCAAGATATAGTCTATATATTTAATTTACCTCATACATTCTCGCTAAAGTACTGTACTGTATTTGTTCGACAGTCATAATTCAATTGTTTTCCTAACTGATATTTTATCAGACCATATCCTATTGTGTACTGACTTATATGTATAATGAATCGTCTGATTATACCGTATTTCATTGATTTTAGATGGCTAATTTTCAGAAGAGAAGATCTACCCTTACTATATCCGTCATATTTCAATAGTCTGGACGGTACCTTTAATATCGATCTATCGTCTAACGATGATAATTTCCTTAGAGCATTAAGCCTATGTAAACCGAGAGAATGCATTTTACAACCAGGTGAACTGTTGTTTGTACCATCAGGCTGCCCTCATCGTGTTGAAAACTTAGAAAGATCCATTGCAATTTCAGCTAACTTTGTTGACTTGTCTAACTATCATCGCGTCGTTGAAGAATTGGAATATTCATCAATGATGGACAACGAAAGCAAAGTTTTACTTTCCGTGTTAACGGATTCAAAATTTTCTACGCGTATGAATAGTCAACAGGATAACTTAGCTTGGAAAGATTTCAAAAATTGGCAGTCTTTAAAAAGTAATTACGACTTTGATATCACTTTGGATAACATTAAGAACTTCAATTTAAGCGTAAATGCAACTGAAAGCTAACACATGATTTTGGAAAGCAATGTTGCTCAGAGTACCCGTGTATTCAGACTAATCCGTCCAAAATTGTTATAATCCAAAGTCTCATTCTTAAGAATATTTAATGCCAATTTGGCGTAAGATCGATTCTGCTCGCTTTCTACGAATGAACGTTTTCTGCAGTTGCTAACTACTATTAAGTCATGTATGTGCTACCTCGGCTGTAATTTCAAGCTAGCAAAAACTGCGCGACCATTAATGTCGACAAATGCACAGAAATTTGTATGATGTTGTGTGTTGTGACTTGAAGAATTTCGGATCATATTCAATTGAAATTTGACCGAAATCTTACATATGACACATTTCTAAACAGGTTTTAAGAAAGTCTGCTAATAGAAAGTAAAAATTGCGTCATATCAATTGTTCAGGCGAATAGTATAATAATAATTTATCTTTTTATTTGTTATAATTACAATTGATTGACAACGAAAAGTATTATGTGGTCATAGCAAACATCAAAGCTGCAGTCATCTGGCAAAAATCACAGTTCAGGATGTTATTTCGTCTTCTTGCGATCTTTACCTTTTAACATGATCAGGCAGAATACTGCAGCTATCATCAGGAAAAGCGAAATAAGAAAATTAGAACTAGTCCATTATTGCAAATTCAAATAGTAGTTAATCACTAGAAAAGCTTAGATTTTGCACATTGTATAAACTAACACTAAAACTTGTTCCAAAAAGAGGTACTATCGGTGTCTGGTCTAGTAATAACTACAGTAATATCTACAGTATAAATACATTGCCATGCTTATATATCAAATAATGCAGCAATTTATAAGGTTGATGTACTTGCTAGGTATCTAATAATAAATATGTCACAATTCAAGATAAGTGAATATCCATATACGAAGCTTTCTTACTTAATATCAATAGCAGAACAACTCCGGCAACGATAGGTATGAGAACTGCATAGGCTCTTGGTAGGAAAAATTGTTGTATAGCAAGATCCTTATCTATAAAAGGCTATAATAACAATATACCAAGATAAGTTCTTGCAATTCACAATAGGAAACTAATACTGTTGTGAAATTCTACAAACATGGCCTTATTCATAATTCTCTAAATACACTAAATAGACCTGAATGTAATCCTGTATATGGATTACTAAATTACTAATCTGTGGTACAGGTACTGAATCGATAAGCAGGAAGTATTTGCACTCAGGCGGTTCCGGATTATTTTTAAGATAATTTTAGTTTATGACTTGTGACAGTGCCTGTGTTTACTGCTGCTGCTTCTTGTAGATATATTATTAAGCAGTATCAATTAATACAAATAATTAATTAATCGTTCAATACAGTAGTTCATTAAATCGCTTATACATTAGAAACAGCACTTATTTAGCCAATTCGAGAGTCTAGCTTGTTTAACGTCTTTACGAGATACTGTATTTAGTTTAAAGACAAGGCCTAAAATTAATTTCGATTATGCAAGCTATCCTGTATCAACGCATTCGCTTATTGTATCTTACGTACTGAATATATATATATATATCAATAGCAATCATGTACCTACCATTACAATAACCCACAATGTGTAGTAAATAAATACAATTAGGCTGAAACCTATCATTCCAGCACCAACGAACCGATCGACTCCTGTGGCCTATAATACGCAATCATTTAGAAATTCGGAGATTAAAATAAATGAATTACAAATTAACCAAAACTGATTTACTGAACTTGGCATGAAATTCGTATCGCTATTAATAATTATAATTGATATACGCGTATTAGCAAGATATTCCGATTTAGAATATAACATACAACACTTTAGTGCAAATAATTTCATCAGCTTATTAGAAAGGCGAAAAGTTCATCACTAGTACAGTGGTAGAAGTAAAATTAGATCAATACGCGTATTAAGGAAGTTGTACAGTATATTGATGTTGATCCGAAAATTGAACAGCGTACTCGTAACCACTTGTACTGTAGGCTGAAATTAGCTAGCCATAACTTGGCTCATTGATCAACGTCATTATGCTAGCAGCAATCAGATACTGCGTTAATGACTTCGTATTACTTATGTTAACATTAACGTAAAAAGATATTTCGCTTTACTCTACATAATCACGTAGAAAACTGCAGAACGATCATCGTCTTAAGATCAGCCATAAGATGTATCACTAAATACACAGGCCTATCGAACTTGTACGCGTACAACGTTCTGTATGTAATATAGCTAAGCTTCAATGAAATTGACCGTCACTAAGACTTACTCTATTCGTTCAAAAATATTCTGGCATCTATTACGTATACACCTTAATTTGTACCTACCATAGTTATTAAGATTTCTCGTATAATTGTGCTTTCTGAATTCTGTGGCCTGTTCTAGCTTATTACAGATACCGTACAATCTTTGCGTTATTTTGGGCTTTTAGGAAAATTCACAGCTATGGCAGTCTCCTTTGCAGTATTGATGAACTTAATAGAAATAAGTGAAGGAAGATAAAGTTGATAAGGTAACTTTCTCAACTGTAAACACTGTCTTCTCTTTTAGGATTAAAGAGTTGAAATGCTATTCTGGTTTAGTAAATTGCTGCTATGCGCGTTGACGAAGTGTCTAGTGTCTTGATACCAGTAAGCAGTAACTGCTCAAAGTAGTGATACTGATAGTCAGTATATATAGAACATGAGTATTGTAATAACTACGATGGACATAATCCAATTTCGGCGTAGACTATGTCAGTCATGCTGTGTGTAAAACACTTCCCAAACTGTACCATGGAGGAATAGGATTTAGTATGGTAATCCAAGAGTGAATCACTGGGAAATCGAAACGTACAGTTTAGTACTCCACGGTAGTTTGCTTGAACAGTGCTAGCGGAAACGTTGGAGCTAAAGAAGATCATCAAATATTGTCCATTTTTTACTTTTAGCTAATAAAAAGTCAAAGGTAGCGCTATGGCAAATCGGATACAAGTAAGTGATGGTGTCTATAAGGAGATTCTTAGACCAGGCAATGGTGCAAAAGTCCAGAGCAATAACACTATTACAGTCCACTGCATAGGATCGCTATCCACTCCATTAAAGAAATTCTGGAGCACCAAAGATCCTGGACAAAAACCTTTCACTTTCCAAGTTGGTGTCGGAAAAGTTATCAAAGGTTGGGACGAAGGCTGTTTGACAATGGCTGTTGGGGAAGTTGCTCGCATTACTATAGCTGGATATAAGGGATATGGAGCCCAAGGATTTCCCGCTTGGGGAATACCTCCAAATGCCGAGCTTCAATTCGAGATTGAAATCTTGTCTGCAAATTAACATGGCTTCTATGCGTACAAAGTACTTTTCTTGGCATAAAACCTTTAACCTGAACGGACGTTAAATTAAATCATGCGGTGTCTGCTTCTGCCACCCAGATTAGATCTATTCTTGTTAATTACGTCAATATCCTTTACTTTACACAATTTATAATTTCCGATTATAAACCTTTAATTCTGACTCAGTTAGACGTGGTAGTGCAGTGCGAACGATCTGATATTGTATACAATGTGAAGCGCAAGTTAACAATTATTGACATTGGATAGGCAATTATTAATGTAATTGTGAGTGGACTAAGTTGCGTTGTGGAATGTGATTTTTTGGAGCTTATCATTATGATCTGATATCAGTCTAAGAACGATACTGCCTTTTAGAACACTGCCTACGATCTAGGTAGAGAAATAAGAAATAACCTTTTCATCTAATTATGAAATGTTATACATGCAAGACTTTGTTGTCTTAGTCCTTCTTCCTTACTGTGGACTATATTACCATTCTTTTCGGTCAAAATAATACAGTTATACTGATAATAATGATTAGCACTATCAAGATAGCCTGATACCTCTAGCTCAGAAATGCTCTGTTCAAGTCTTCGTAGTAACCTTAAAAAATCTCTATGATAGTAACCCAAGTAACAATTCTAAGTGTACAGGATTAAGAAAATAAAGCGCAAATAGGAGTGTGGACATAATTGCATGATACGAATAAAATGCAGAAGCGAAATACTGTATTAAAGAATCAGTAAGACGATAGCGATTCATTTATGAAATGGGAAGCGATGAGCGTGAAGCAGCAAGTTATCTAAATTGTGATTTCTAGTTTGTTACAATATTGTACCCATATATTCAAGCATGACTATCAACTTAGTGCAGTAGCAGTAGGCGTATTGAACTATAGCTAAGCTGATCAGAACATGTACATGTGCTTTTTAGTGTACGTGATAGTACTGTACTATAAATAAAATTATGATAGATCATAATTGCAATACAGTATCAAAATTGCAGTACTATAACCGATTGTGGAACCCTTGCTTCTCGATGAACTGATCCACTCGCTTTTAGTACCGTTTGAGCTTAGAAATCGTACGAGGTTGCTACTATAGTAAATTAGTAATACTGTATTAAATTTATTCGGTTAACATGAAATAATGTAAGTACCTCTATGTAATTTGGCACATAGAGCATACGTATGACAACTCCACACGACATACATGTACCATACAGTAACGCTTACACATAGAATTACAAAAATATTAATTAAATGTGCTATAAGTCTAACATTTTAATCATACATTTCACGACAGAAACGTCAATTCTGACTGCCTCGTTCATACTACTGTACAACAGGGTCAAATTTAATTCTATTTATTAGATTAATACTCGTATATCAATTTCGTAAAATACTGGACAGTTCGTCATATTCAGAAGACTGACAATCTTATAGATTTTTAAGATACTATTTACAGGGCCTTCTCAATGACTATTAAATTAACTGCTATCATCTTGCTGAATGTCTGAGGGTATACACTATACAATAATCTCAAATACAAAGTTAACAGCGGCACTAAAAATACAATAATAATAGCAGTAATAAATTTAATCTGATAGCGGCATTATATGCATTTTATATAGGAATAAGGTTTTCTTAGAATACATCTTCATAATCCACAAGATTTCTTGATTCTTCCCTTTTGGCATCTATGTTACGACAGTATTAAAAAGCGGAACTTAAAGCTACCAATCAGATATATTATGCAATAGTGTTTCAATTACAAAATCATGTATCTAAGCGTTTACTACTTACCTTCGACTTGTCCTGCAGCTACATTGAATAAACAACAAAAATATAGTAAAATATTTAATAAATCCTATTATTTCTTAGAAATGGATTCTTAAGAACATCTGCAAAAAAATTTAGGTAATCTTACCAGCTCTAGCCCAAGGAGAATGAGTAGCAACTTTATCTGGTATATAAACAAAATTTTGTTTTCTAGAATATGATACTTTCAGTGAAACGCCTCCGGCCGTTGTATTGTCCATCTAAAAATATACGAATTCGATATATCATGAGAAGGTTACAAACAGATAATGTACGCCATTCATTTATTAAGTATATTAGCAGAAGAGATAAGGTGTCCGAAGTTCGGATACCCACTTTACGATATAAATTACGTAAGGAGACATTAATTGAAATATCAGTCTTACTTCATTTATAGCGCGTGATGTCGCTTCATAGCTATCGAAAGTTATGAAGGCACAACTAAAAAGTAGAACAGCATTAGCAAGTACAGTATTAACAAAATCCATTCTACAATAAATTGGATATAATATAACCAAGATAACATTAGTAGGATATAATTCAGATGCCAATGTAGATATCTTACTTTTTTTCTGCTTCCATATTAATTGATAGTATACGACCTACCATTGATAATTTATTGGTGAGACAGATTAATTTAAGATGAAATAGTAATCTGTTCGAACCTACCAAACTCAGTAAATGATTTCTTTAGTACCATCTCACTAATACCGCGGCCAGTTACATAGATCGTATTACCCTGGATAAAATTATAGGGAATTAACTTCTAGTTTCAGAATATGAATTGTTGATATTAAATTCTTTCAAAGCATAAGTTTGTATAGAGAACGCTATCGCCATCGTAGCTTAAACTGGCTCGAAGCAGTAAGTATATTTATGACGAAAGGCACGGTTAACTCGATATTCAATTACTTTTTTGAAAGAAGTAGACTGTTTAACCATCTCCCGATGTCTTCCTAAAGTAGTCAAAAAATCGTATCAATATTTTCGCTGTATCATGTATATTCTTAATTGTAAATCTATAGGTAGCACGAAATGGTTACAGATGACACCTACTTGATCTTGAATCTGCTGATGCATTGTCCACCTCTGATTGCTTTAGAGTAAAATTGCAAGACCAACACTCAGCACGTTGCATTTAATTTAAATCTATTATGCATCTATTTGTATATTAATGACTAATTAATAATACGTTTTCTTCGGGTTCCTCCGTCACAGGTTTTGAGGTGCTATCCTTTGTCTCTTTTGTAGCATCTTCACTAATTATAGCTTGTTTGGTGGCAGGTGAGTTTACTCGCTAAGAAAAATAATTAAAATCGATTTAATTTTCAATAGAAAATAGTTTTTTGGCCGACTGTATAATATATTCTTTATGTACGAACGCAAATAAACTAATTAAACTACAGTAAAAGACCTTGGTTTTTCGTCGTAATATTTTCAACTTCTTTGTACTTGGCTGAGTTGGGGTTTCTTGAGTATTTGGCAAGGACTAAGGAATCAGTCAATCAGTTGGCTTTTAAGGTGATTGTATCAAGATTACAGTATGATATCAATTTAATTATCGGTACTAACTCCTAAAGCTTGTAATTTTTTAATCGTTTCTCTCTTAATTTCTTCGCTATCTAACGATCCTAATTAGAGACGTAATAAGCATAATCATAAGTTAAGGTGGTATCCACATCGAGGAATGGTAGACTAAAGCAGGAAAAATTTAGTCATACGCAATTATCATTTTAGTATCAGTTAACAATTACAATAACGTAAGCTTTATTAACATAGGCCATGTCCTTTATCATTCATGATTCTGTACACTACACTCTAAAGCAGAATTATACAGATCATAATATACATTTCAGAAATAGATATGATGAGGCTAGTAACCCTCCATTCATTTGTGAGCTTAAGTATACTCGATTGTAAAATAATGACTTAAAGTTATGTGAATAAGTAGTTGTTGACGAATGCCGTCATTGAAGTCAACACTCACAACATTGTAGTGTAGCATTAGATAACCTCAACGTTATTGTAATTAGACCGTTGCTACTCTGTCAATTCTGTTTGCTTACTAACATTAGCGTATATTGTAATGATATAATAGTTACTGTTGATGGTAAAGTATGTAGTTTTCGAATTACCTGATCGTTTGAGTGGTATCGTTGAAGTTTCTTTGGCTGATTTAATGGTCTTTTCCTTCGGTGCAGGCTAAATACATGAGAGTAATAACAGAATCTATCTTGAATATTATATTGCAGATTGGTTTTTGTATTTATTTCAGGTAAACTTGAGACACTGCACTACATCCATACGTACAACAATTTATATCAACTCGAACTCGAACAGTACACACAACTCAATACTACTTGACTCGATTGTCATTACTGTATTATCCTGTGAATCACTCGGATGCACAGTACTTGTGAAATACGAATAGTATAGCGCAGTAGGATCAATGCAATGTCAATGCAATCACATGATATTTAGAAGTAAACTATCATATCATAACGTATATTGCTGGATGGGCTCCCTGAATAGAAAGAAACTTGAATTCAATATACTCTTTAGCATCTCTACTTCAAACTAGTGTCATTTCAGTGATGCTTCAAAACAATGTTGTCAAGGTTATTGCTCATCGATGATGGTGAGCACCTTGTATCTTTCAGCATTGAAATCGTCTATCGCGGAAGCGTTTATTTACCTTACGTTTGCCTTCATCATATTTCTTTTTAAGTAAAGATTCTTCTTTGCTGAGTGGAAATGATGCATACTTACGTCTTAATAGTTTACCTTCTTCAGCTGAAGCTGGTGGCAATGTCAAAATCATGGAGGTCATTTGAAGTGTATTTCTAGTTGGTTTATCGTTGAAGGAGAACAAGGAGAATGGAAGCTCTCACCAGTGGAGACTACCACAGTTGCAATGCAGACCACTTCCAGTGACGGTAGTTCCAGCGTTTGGTGAAAGTACAGTACTGTACAGTGTACAGTACTGTACTGCACGAGTTTCCAACATTTATGGCAAAGTACTGTACACTGTACAGTACAATAGTATTTGGGAAAGGCTGTCTGTTAGTCCGTCTGTCGCATTTTCTCATTCCATACTGTACTAGCTGTACTGTACACTGTGTTCAGTACAGTACTTTACGCGTTTCCAACATTTGAACGCAAAGTACAGTACAGTACTGTACTGTACAGTACTGCACGAGTTTCCAACATTTGGATGGCAAAGTACTGTACACTGTACAGTACAATAGTATTTGGGAAAGACTGTCTGTTAGTCCGTCTGTTGCATTTTCTCATTCCATACTGTACTAGCTGTACAGTACACTGTGTTCAGTACAGTACTTTACGCGTTTCCAACATTTGAACGGCAAAGTATGTACTGTACAACGTGATTATTTTCTTTTCAGATAAGTCGACGAATATTTTTTGAGTTATTTCTTCATCAAAATCAATAAAATTTGATACGTGTGAAGAGAGGAAGTACAGTACTGCACGAGTTTCCAACATTTGCATGGCAAAGTACTGTACTGTATACTGTACACTGTACAGTAGAACATGTTATACTGTACAACAGTATTTGGAAAAAGATGTCTGTTAGCCCGTCTGTCGCATTTTCTCATTTCAACGTGTTCCGCTTATCGACTATGCTATAACACAGTATATCAGACCCTTGGCAGTGACGTTGAAAACGTTCAAAATCATTGCATTTTTCCAAACGTTCAACTCTACTGAGAAAGTACATGTACAATTGTACATGTGTACTGTACTATACGTGTACCTCTATACTGTACAGTAAATGAGACATGACAGTAGAATCGAAGGAACAAATTCATAACCATATGAGTACAGTATGGTACAGTATGACGAACGAGTGTGGGTTGTTCAACCTGCTCTACTTTACTGTACATACTGTGCGTACAGTGTATTGTACTCTACAGTACAATACAGTACTGTAAGTCAGTAACCAACGTGATCGTCTACAGTACAATACTGGAGTCGTCCAAGGAAGTAGAAAAAAATTTCTAGGCTCAAAAAGTGCTGTGCAAGACTGCAAGTGCAACTTGAGCTCTTACTAATAATAATTTAACTACAATGAGTATAACTGTTTTCTACCTAAAATAATACTGTAAAATTTCATTACTTTGTACGTTCAAAAAATAGAGAGTGCAGAGTTCATAGCCAAAGTTCTCATCATAATATTACTTTTACTGCTTAATGGTTAATCAATTTTGAACATTGTCGTCATGAATTTCAAAGTGAGAGTAATCGATCTGGCCGGGTCTTGCTGTCGTCTAGGAGCACTGCAATTTGGAACCAAGGTAGTTGAAACTCCTGGTTGTTTAATTTATAACCGTTCTGGTGTAGTTCCTCATCTCACACCGGATATTTTGGAGACTTTGGACAACGTTCCACCTATTATGCATACACCTCTGGCTTCGATGTAAGTTTTCAATAGTAACGTTATGAAGTCAACTTAAAGGGTTTTTATTCCAATCAAATATTACTACCTGCAGTTGTAAAATAGGGTTACAGTTAGTTAATGGTGACTCAATGTGATCAATGCAAAGTATGTACTATAAACTGCCATATACTTTTTCATTGATCATTCAATGTCTTTATCTACAGTAAAATATATATATATAGTTATATATACAGTACATAAGGCCTGTCCTATCTATTGTACTTTACTGCATTTAAATCATTTGTATTATTTGAACTTTCTGAGTTACTACAATACAGTTATAGTATATATTAAACTGTTGGTTGCTACAGTAAAACTAGAAATTCGCCATAGAATGAATGTATTGGCGGTGTAACAATTTGCGGACCACGACAGTAATAGATCTATTGCTGTTGCGGTTTGTTAGTACATTTTATTCTCCAATTGTACAGTTCGTCAATGTCAAATCCATACTTCTGCTTGAACAGTTCACTCACTTTGTGTATAGAGTTAATAATCTCAGCAAGAGTAATACCAACCATCATCTGTAATTAAGATGATCGTTTTTTACTACATTTGAGTGATATTACTCCACAACTCGATTACTGATTAAATATGGAGCAGGTTTTACCTTGTATAGTTAGTTGTATGCTCGTAGGCGCTATAGGAATTCTACAGGTATATAGTCAAGTCCGTACATAACACGGTACCGTCCACCGTGTTGTACTTGTTCTTGTCAACTTCGACATACGTTTACATTTTCCATACTGTACACTATACCGCATACTTTGGTATCGAACAGCTTATTTAGATATCCAAATACGGTACAGTACACTTCAATGCGACATTGTATTACCCAAACAATGACTGGAAAAGCATATAAATAGCAAATTTCTCGACCTTATTCTTGACCGGCCGCGTGGCCCAACGGATAAGGCGTCCGACTTCGAAATCTTTCTGTATGGAAGATGAAGTTATCGGAAGATTGTGGGTTCGAGTCCCATCGTGGTCGAAATTTTTTTTTTTTTTTAATTGTGATATTTAAGGCTATTTCATGCCCTCCTGACTGTCGTCATTAAACAGCAAAGACGATAAATTTAGCAATCCATGACGATAGTATAGCCATGAACGACTTAATTAGATCTAGTAGCCACGGTACAGCATTATAACTATTGCACAATCAATCAATAGCTGTATTTACTATACTGTACTTACAGTAAATACATAAATTCAATTCAATTTAATAAATTTTAAAATTTATTTTATTTAAATGAATTGAAAATAATACAACTAGAAAAGTAAAGTACAGTAGTGTTTCGATACTACGTACACCGTACTACTGTATACTATTGTAAATTGAAATAGGCTACTCTGTAAATAAGTTTCTACTCAATATTGAAGTTTGATAAAGTTGAGATAAAAAGTACTGTACCGTACTGTATGAAAAGTATCACGAGCATCAGTTCAATTTGTAGCTAATAAATCTAAGAAAATACTGCTATCATATATGGACAAGGATATCACATTGCCGACGATAAAACTGTTCGCCAAATGACATCTTATAATATTTTCGAGCCAAAATTAATCGCTAAACAAACAAGAAAGCAGTAGCAGTCCCTTGATTGTGTCTATAGAAACGCACACGTTGACGAAATGTAGATGGTAAAAGTAATAATAAATTGCTTATCTAATTTACATCTATGAGTATACTATACAGTGTACAGTATACATCAGTATTACAAAATAGGCGTACTTTCGATAAATTTTACCAATCATTAGAATAAAGCATGTCATCACACTACGATATAAATGATTTTAGAAATGCTCCAATTGCTGCAGACTAACTAACCATAAAATTCAATCGTGATATAACTTGCTTTTAAGACATTGCAATCCCATTTATTATTTAATTAATTAATCCAAGTAGGATATTCATGATGTACTTATTCTATACTTCCATTAACGTAAACAATCGTATTTAGTATTGAAGAACCTGGATTAATAAAATTACGCGGATATGGCAAAGGTCTCGCTAGCTTCATAGGATACAAAGTACGTGTGGTATATTGAAAGTCCTACTTGTATCGGAAGAATCCATGTTAAAATATATATAGTACTATCAAAGCTGTATAGCGCAATAAGAAACATATGCAACTACTTTTGTTATTAGGATAACTCAGTTTACATATCAGCCTCCGATTACCAGGGCGAGGCTATGTACCAGTACAATGAAAATAAATCAATCTCCGTGTGGACAAAGACTGGTAGAACAAAGGTAAAACGATAATGATTTGAAATTTTAAGGAACCATGTTATAGCTTATTAGGAGAATAAAACATTATTGAACTTTTTCTAGGTTACACCTGATGATTACTCAAAATTTGTCGAAGTTTGCCGGCCTAGTTGGTATCAAAGCTTATGCGACACGGTGCCTGCTAATGCATCTATTAAAAGAACGCGCAAATCAGTTGATAGAACTTTAGAATTTTTAGATCAGTGCCTTAAATATCGTGAGAAACATGATGTAAGTAACTGTTGAGCTCAATAAGTAAATGCAGTAGACACCTAGCTTCTATTTACTACCGGAGTGTCAACGAACGAGTACATTATTGCATCTTAACAAACTAAACTAAACTTTCATTGTGATTAATCTTAAAGAGTTTGAAAACTAGTGAGTTATGGGCTGCTGTTGAAGGAGGTGGACTAGTTGATGAGAGACAACGATCTGCTAAGGAATCCGCAACCAGGCCTGTTTTCGGTGACATACGCATTTTGATTGTGATTTTAGTTAAACCACTTTGCATCTATTAGCCCCGTAAATCTTAAGAGATAACGTTTTATATGAAATTTTAAAATTTAGGATTCACTTTAGAAGGATTTGGTAGCGATCAAATGAATGTTGAAACTATTTTTGAGCTTCTTCCGTTAACAACGGTAATGATTTATTGCGTGCTTTCATGACAGCTATAAAGTTAATATTCAATTAATATAAGAAATTATTAATAAGCGCTTATTATTATTTTATATTAGCAAAACCTCCCAGTTGAAAAGCCAAGATTAATTCACGCGATTGGTTCACCCAGTATGTAAAGAATAGAAAATACTTATTAAAGCTACGTTAATCACCCATATTATGAGCGTACAACCTTTATTAACTTATTCTGGCTACGAAATGTAATTTATGCAATTGCGTACATGATCTTATCCTTTAATGTAAAACTTTACAGCAAACATCATTAAAGCTATCGAAAGTGGAGTTGACCTATTTGATGCGTAGTATCCTTGTTTACTTATTTTAACAATATTCATATTATTTACATTCATATACTTTTGACGTTACTACTCCTTAATAACTCAGCTATCCATACAATCTAACGGAAAATAATTTGGCAATGGTTTTACCACTTAAAGCTATCAATTCTCTAAGTCGTTCAAGTAAGCTAACTGAAGTTGAAGAAGAAAACGGAAATGATTCCTCCAATGATCAAGATCGTACTGCAACATTTTCATTGTTAAATTTACGTGAAGATAGGTCATAACATTATTGGAGTCAGTCTGTAGCACATAATATGCCCTACTTACTAAAACAACAGAATTTGCGCTCTTAAACTTTAAAATAGATATAATGAAGATTTCTCACCATTGGTTAGTGGTTGTAAATGCTTCGTGTGTTCGAACCATACAAGAGCCTATATTCACCATCTAATAATTAATAATGAGATGTTGGGCGGAGTCCTTCTCATGACGTAAGTCTAAACTTATAATTTTGTTATGAGTTACATTGCCTGTGCTGTTTTTATTTAATCTACTATTAATTAAGCATTTTAAATTTTTTTAGACATAATTTATTTCAATATATTGAATTCTTTCGTTGTATCCGGACATCGCTCAAGAATAATAAATGGAAAGAACTACGAAAATTATTTGATGCTTGAATATGATTGTGAATTCTCTCTGCTGGCAGTGTCACTTTAAAGTAATAGCAATTTTAACGTAATTAAATTTTTAAGCTCTGTATATTCTCATACAATTCAATTCTTGGCCTTAGATTTTAATTTCATGGTGAGCCTAAGGCATAGTATATTTCTAAATAAATGATAGGACATGATTTGTGTCAATTTATCTAAACTTTGCTTGCTTAAGGTTGATTACGTGCAAGCGCTCCAGAAATAGTTATCCATCAAACTTACTCTCTTGTATATGGGTACGAAATTTATATATTTTGAAATTATTTTATTAATATTACATAATATAGCGGAGCTAAATGCAATACATAATCCATTACAATATGGCAGAAGTTTGGATTAGCTATGAAGCTAGTAAATCAATTTTTAATTTTTACGAGCTGACCTACGGGAATACTCAAGAACAATTTCTTATGCAGTTATTTTGAATACAATCAAATGATTGCTGGCAAAACAGGATAGTTACTGTGTAAATCAACGTTAATGATGAAAATATAGTGATATACAAGTATCTACTATCTGAGATAACCGTAGAAATCCATATTTTTGTAGTGCTCGCGTTATAGAATCTAAGTCGCCCTCTAAGTGAGATGACAAATATCAAATAGCTTGTTCACATTAAGATTATACAATTTAAAATCTCTCTGCTACTGCACATACAGCACATTAAATTTACAATACAACAGTACGGTAAGTGCAAGCAAGTGCAAATACATTAAAGAAATCATTATTTATCCTGTGGCAGAGGCTTCTTACTTTTAGCTTTACCCTTAAGTTTAATAAAGCAATGGCCTAATAATAGCATGTACTTAGTAATACTTATATAGGCTATCACTTTAACTATCTTTGTAGCGGTATTAACTAAGGAAAGATGCACAACATAATCGGTTAAATGGACCCATCGCTACTGCTTCTTGAAAGCCTTCCGTAGCTTTCATTCGATCTCGATCTCCTACGAATCACGCAATAACCACCAACTAAGAGTGCTATTCCTGCTATACTCGAACCAATAACAATAAGAATCGATGCCCAAACTGGTAATCCAGCAATTGTAACTTTAAAGCACAAAAAAGAACATTAATTTAAAAAGTAAACACGAGAAGCCAGCCGTCTTGAATACTTGAATACTCGTATTTTTCGACGTACAACGCTAATAACACTTAAGTACCTCTGTGTAATAATCCTATTTTTCGATTTACTTACAAGGCTTGCATGTTACTTCCCTACTGATAATTTCTGGTCCAGAGTATCGATATACAATTGTCGTCTTGGTCGTACAAGTTTGATTTTTATCCGTAATTACTTTAACAGTATTATCGGTCACTGTAATGAAACAAATAAAATCGGCATTAGATTTCACCCTAGAAACAATGATAATTACTCATTTAAATCCCATTAAAATCGATCACACACACCGATATCTATAGACTTCTAAAGATAGTTAAAGTATTTGGCTAAATGTAGAATCAGAAATTTTATTTATCTAAACTGCAAGTAAAAATTTTTAACTTGATCTTCCTAGAGTCGAACACTGCAGTCAATCAGTCGTATGCAAGTTATCGTTATATGAGTTTGTGAAGAATTACATCATTCCACTTGTAACCAAGAATAAAGTATAGGAAAGTTTAATCAGACTTCTACTTACCTCCAATATAGAGAAATTTAAAGTTTCTAGTAGGATTAAACTTTTCTATCTTGAATCGTATCAACATTTCATTGTATTGTGTATTTATTTCCTCTAACTTTCTGTCACATTTCTTGGTTAGTAATTTATCTTTTCTGTTGTAAAATCCGTCATAAATTTCGATGTAATTATTTTTGTCGCATCCATGCTTGAATATATCAATACCAAAGCTTAGCCAGCGAATTTTATAATAGGCAACTTCTCGACTTTTAACAACGAACTGACATTCTATATCCACGTTATCGGTTTGCGGTATTACAGGGATAGACATTGCTCCCGATGCAGTCCCGTAGTGTAATCCACATTTATCAGGATATGCTAAAAATGAAAACACCCAAAACATATTTCAAAATAAGTTTTAAATATTTAACGGTAGCTTGTTTGCATTTTTGTTTTACATACCGGAAAAGTCTACTCAACGATGAAATCTCAAAATATTTGTAGTTAGACTAATACGCGCATAGAGAATTCACTATGAAATGATTTTTACAATTCATATTTTGGAGTGTAGATATAGCATTAAATGGAAAGCAAATTATAATCTCTCTGTTTTATTTTGTTAATGGATCTATAATCATAAAGCAATATCCAATAAAAATGGTGTATAGCATACCTGCAGAATAAAATGCTCTAAAGCCAGTATATAAGGATAACGCCGACTTGCTAGAGTGAAACTTGATATAAGCGATATTGCCACCGGATAAAATCTGTGGTGGTTTATAAAGTCCACAGTGTCTAAAGTAACGATGCCTTGGATCCATTAATCCTTCATAGACCTCAACATAATCGTCGCAGTTTTCCACCGAACTTACATTATTACGTTTCGCAGGTCTTCCCAAAGCAAATTCAGCAAAGTTGAGGGAAAATATCATGCCAGGTGCAACTTGGATCTTGTAAATACAGTCCTGATTGGGTGGATATGCTAATGGGAAATGAGGACTAACGATAGCACCCGAAGCAGTCCTATAAACCATATTATTACATCGGTAAGGTTCTGAAAAAATTGAATAATTAGTGTCCTATTAACTGCATAAAATTGATTAATTGCCGTTGAATATCAGGTAAGAAAACTATCCGACATTCTAGAAAAGTTTTTCAAAGTATTCTAGCTTGGCTTATGTATTGTTTACATATTAGTTTACAGCTGTGCTGTATAGCAAATCGTAAGCTCAAATTTGTATAGTACTGTATTTCTCTTAAATTGGCCAAAGAGATTGATGTAATTAAGGTACCGTAAATTTTAGAAATAAGCAGAAATAACGACAATACAAAAAGGAGGTTAACTGATTGATTGCCTGCCAATCTGTACAAATGGCGGTGTTATGATCATCAGAATGAAGATTGCATGTCTTCTATATGTTCTAAAAATTTTATATCGACTTTACATACTGTATCAATCATTACTGACATTGAATAGGACACCTACTTGAATAAAAATATGCAGAAAATCCCCGGTAAACCTCAATATCTGGCTGATTCGTTTTTGCATGTAACACAATGCTCAGTTGATTACCACTGGAGGTAAAATCGAACGAATTGAGGGAATATCTTCCACAGATAGGTGTGAATAAATATTGATTAATGCCAAGAACTTGACCGTCATAAGCTGTTACTGATTCTCGACAATGGCCGAAAACCTTTGGTGGTAAATCGAAATCGCTCCAGCGCCATGCAACGACTTTTCCTTCCCTCGTCGTTATGACATATTTGCAAGAACTATTACTGGGATTAAAGAACGGATAATTAGGACTTTTAATTTTGCCATAATTCTGCTTGATAGCGTAATCGCAGCGTTTTTCGATATCGAAATCTTCCAACTCAAATTCTAATATTGTAAGAAAATTGATTATAATTCAGTCTTAGAATTAGGTTGAATATAATATATAGTAGTTAAATAAGGACATACTCATCTAATTACAATTAATAGACGCTTATATTTTAAAATTATCAGTTAAGCCCATAAGAGCCAAGTTCAGGTACAACGATGCAATACTGTAGATATATGAATTTGAGATTGAGTGATAGATTCTCTACCGTATAAGATTATTCTTATAGCTATGTGTGTAAATGTATGCCAATCATAACGACTATAATGCAGAATTGCTTTGATGATACAGTATTAGAGCTTGATTTTATGTACATAACATCGATCACTTATTATAGGATAAAATGATTGTAGTTCTATTGCAGTATTTGCAAGTACACTGTAATAATTTACGATTAGAAAGTTTTATTACGAGAGTGATTCATACCAAGACTACTTCCTTCATCCATGATATCACTAGCGAGCACTAAGTAAGCCAAAACTGGCATGATAAAGACCAATTTTTCCATCGTTGCGCCAATTCAAAATTTTTCTAAACCTTTTTACAAATATAATTGATTTCCTGCATAAAACAAAACCAACAATAAATCTACTGACAATACTAAATAAGATATTCAATAAATAGCAATATCACAGCTTTGCAGCTTTAAAACTAATATAATCGATTCTTAAGAGAAAGTTATATATTCTATTATTAGAATGGTAGAAAGTGTTATTTTATATTGTAGATATATTGTAATATATGGCTTGATAGCAGCCCGTCCTATAAAGATATTTATTGACAAATTTATTACTTTGATAGTAGGTTCAGCCATCTCAATGCTAAGATATCACAGCTATACAAGGAAAAATCGAGCTGCAATCTATCTATGATAATATCTAATTTGCTTGCTACATTTGAAGACGATATTTTAATGTGCTGACGTATTTTCTGCGTGGTTTGATTTAGAATACCTATATCTATATAATTAGAGTATTGAGCTAAACATAATAATAGCCTTAAGTTTGCAAGTGTTGCGTGATCAATTCTGCTTGAAAGTTTAAAATGTAGGAGTCAAAATCTATTTTAAGAATACGGCATGATTAATAATGGAGCAATAGCAACTAAAGAAGTGACTAAAAGTTACCCTTAATAATCATTGGAAAATTTTTCGAGTTATAATCTCTGGCATAGAAGGCTTGGAATGTAATTAAATTAAGTGAGTGGAGCAGCATTTAAGTTACTGCTAGACATCCGTCAATAACGTTTCAGTATTTAAAAATGACTGAATATGCCGTATTATTACGATAGTTAAAGTGTTCTCCATATTACTAGTGGGGAAATACAATTTCTAACCTTACTTAGTATTGCTCAAAGCTCATGCATAGTATAAAATAAAGTAGCTAATATAATATAAACGTAAGTGTAGTCATTAAATATGCAAGTACATTTCTTTACACGATTAACCTTGCTTGATAAATTAAACTGTAAATGTCTAAATCTGTTTCAGGAAGTAGTACACTAAATAACATAAAAATAAAAATAAAGCAGTGCGATCAGAGACTATTTTATTAGCCTTGGTGTAAACTTGCATGTTATGGTCCCCTCTAAGGAAGAAGTAAAAATTGCTCTATTGATAACTAAAACAATATCTTTCGATTGCTACTGAGCATCTAGTAGTAGTTTTTCAGAGTCCTAAAATAACTAAATCTTGGTTTCATCATAAGAAATGAAATCTTCTCTATGTCGATAATGCCTCATGTAACATTTATTAAAATTGCCAAGAGCTTAGATAATGTATAAAGATAAAAATAGCATACAATGGCCGCATCGATTACCGAAAGTATTTATTGAGATAAATTTCATGGAATATCGTATGTAGCACAGAAAGTAATGGAAATTTACATACCAATCGTTCCTAAAGCGTTCCTCTTGCTACTTCGATATATCTTGAGAAATAGATTTTATTATTTCTATCTATTTCAAGCATAGATTAACAGATATTTCCTATGCTAAGCGAGATTTAGTGTTTATTACACCTACGATTTTATGTATGCATGCCGTATATTAAATGCAAATTATATCATAATTAGCAATATTGATCATAGTGCCATCATATGATGGTAGGTAGGATACGCGATCTAATATTAAATCGTTTAGGAGTAGCAGCAAAATTACAAATTGTATAGCTCAGTACCAGTATAGGTCATATAGGGTTAATAACGGATAAAATTGAAACAATAGTCTTACAGCCTATCCGTTGTTATAATGTTAATAAAGTATGCATAAATTTCAATAGAAAAATAGAGGCAATAATTGCTGATTATAATTCTTAATTCAATTATAAATTGTCATCTAACTACAGTAGAACTTCAGCTTCAAATCCCGTATCGGATATAAGCTAGGAAAAATTACGTGTTCTATCCTACTTTAATTTTGAGGAAACCAATTTCTTGAAGGAAACTTTGATGATTTACTATTTATAATTTATGGAGACATTGGCTAGCTCCCCAATTGTCAAGATTATTGTTTCTTATTATACTTAACAATAACTACTATAATATTATCACATGATTGGAACATATTGGTTACTTTTTGTATTAGATATCATGAAAGTGATTGCATTCTCCGTAATGGATAGATACTGGTACTAATAGACGAAATTTAATAGCACATCAAGGCAATGCAAATGTATTCTTAGCAATAAGTCACAAGACGGGCTGGGCTATTCATTAATACGAGCAAGCTAGTTTTAAAGTGGTACAGTATAACTCTAGGTAGGTAAATGCTCAGCTGGAACACTGTAGATAATTAATTTATATAGACCGTTAATTAACTCTGCTAGTTTACTGGCCTTTACTAAGTCCAAAATGTAAATATAATGTGTACTAAGTAGCATCAGATCGTAAAAATTTTCTCCTTCATATTTCGATAGCATAGTGTGTAAAAAAAATTATGGTACTTCCGTCCCTGTAGTTTCAACGCATACGTATAAGCTCAAAAATCATTATTATCCTAGGAGAGATTTTTTAATACATGTCATTTCATAACATAGAAGGTGCCGGTATGCTTTAAGCTGTTTCTCGAGTTATCGCAATAGGTATGAGTAAATTACCTTATGCACTTATTGTATGCACATCCACTGGTATCCATGGATGTATATTCGTAGCCTGAAATATTGGGATTTTAACAAGGTATAACTGACATGTAGAAAGCGATACCATTATCTGCCATAAAGAATAGACTAGATCAAAGGACGAAATATTATCACGCGACTTACGGCATTAAATTTACATCTAGGTCTGCTATATCGAATTGCTTTTATAAATAGAAATAAATTGCCTCATACCGTCTGCATGGAGATACTAAAGAGCTATAGAGCTGTACCTCGAGTTGCTATTGATTATTTTTTACGAGCAATTCTCCTAATGTACTGAATCTGTGTGATAGAAAAAGATGCTACAAGATTACTTAACATGACAGTATTAAGGTGCGCTTAGAGTTGTTTTTATAGCAAATCAGAAGGTATTACGAAATTAATGATTTTTTGCCGATATACGCATATGATGACGATAGCATCCATACTGGATAGAAGTAGAATAAAATTATTATACGAGACATGGTATGTCGCATGTGTTTATTGGCAATACAGTACTAGTAAATAATCCGTTCAAATGAACAGAAACATAATAGACGAATTAATAAATAAATTAAAAGAAATTTCACGTCTAAATTATCTGAATATAGATTTCTAGATATGCAAGAGTAAATTACTTGACACCTTTGACGTAGGGTAAAATACAATAGGAGCCAATTTTAATATTAGACTATAGTTTGCAGGTCAATAAAATATTAAGTCCGCGATATTCTGCTTATGCTTTACTTACAAATTGTTTTTTACTTCTTTAAAGAATACAAAGCACTTTATATCTAGATTTAGCTAATTAACTCCATATGACATCTGCATCTATACGTCAAACTTACACACCAAATCTATAGACATATGCAGAAGGTATAATGTTGCTTACATGCAACTTAAAATAGTGAAAGCAATAGGTTGCTAGCTATAAAGTTGCTGTTATCAGAATAATTACATACCATAGGATTGAGTATAATGCATCATAACTAGACAATACAGAGAGAGACAGCAGGTAATAATACTGAAACAGTAAGTTAACAAGATAGTTCTTAAATCATCGTCACGTTTCTATATAAAATATACGCATTAGATTATAATGAAATCATTATAATGATGAATCAGGAAACCCAAGATGACGTCTACAAAATCGACAAAGTTTGATAATAGAATATTATTTGAGTTTTTATTGTCATTTGGACGAGTTGGCTAGGTTTATTTATCATTTAAATTTCGATTGTCATCGGCCGCACGGTGATTGGCGATATAAATATGGAATTAATATAGTCAAGTTACCGTTAATGAAAAGCGTTTTGTTTAATTTGTTAATTAAAAGAATCCCAACGAAGAATTCCATTTAGTGTGACTGGTATGCATTAATTATCCAATGTTTTATTTGCGTAGATATACGAGTATAGAATATAGGATATGATCAGATGATGCACTTGGTTATAGGGGCACTGATATTGAATAAAGGCCCGAGATTAAGCGAAGCAAACTAAATCACCAAGGGAAATAAAATTACATTTCTTTATCCTTAAAGGAAATGAGATTACTATAGCTTGACAGAAAAAATCTAGTTTGACATTATTATCTAAAATTGGAAGGTAATTTGGATTTCCTATGGAATTAATCCTGAAGATCAACAAGTAGTTACAAGTTGGACGTTTGAAAAACCGCTGGTAACTAGGATATAATTGTTTTTATTAAGCATTGGATTTAAAATTTAACAGGTTTTATGAAGTGAAATCGAGATTCTGTTTCTTTTATTCGATGTAGCCATAATGTATAATTTAATAGTTGGGACGCCGCAGTTTTTATTTCTAATTTAATGCCGGTAGCATTTAGGATACGGTAACTGATCGCATTGATTAACTCTACTGGTAAAAAAGTCCGGCCTCATAGAGACGGTCCACTTCCGATATATTAATTATCTTAGATGAGTAAAGCTTTAAAAATTTATTAGAATGACTATAGTTGCCATAGTTTGGTGGACACCTTTACTGCTTTAACATTTGGAATTAGAGTTTAAATATCTCACCTTAGGTTAATTTTACGTTCATAGTCCTCGTAGAAATACACTGATATACCTCTATCAATGTTAACTGGCTTTGATTTCTATGAACATAACCAGGATCTAGTTATTGTGTAAATATCACGTTACAGGATTCTGTTTGGCGTGATCTTGTTTAATTCTATAGTTTGTTTAACGGGGAAAAAGCTGAATTTTATATATACAAAGTGTTCTAGACTAGTCCCATTATTACGATCACTTGCTAGCGATGTTTATCTTGGTTAGAAAGTGTCGGACCTATCATAGCGGGGTTTACGTTAACAACTAAGTGTTATGTATGTGCACATTGGCCTATCTAAACATATCTATCCGAAGAAACACCGAGAATCTAAAGTTGATAATTAAAGTATGACTAACTATGTTATTACAATTAGTCTTTAACTATATTTGTCTTGGGAGAAGACGTCAGGCATTGACGACAGAATTAACGTATCCATTTGCAACTACCTGTTAAGATACGAATTCGTTCCGAAATCGGAAGCATAATATTTTTCTCACGGAGAAAATGATCATCATGTTGAAAGTACTGATCAAAGTTACTTAAAGAAATGAATTCATACAATAAGTAGGACTATACTCCAGATTCTTTCCTGCGTTACAGTGGTAGAATCAATTAGTTTATCCATTCTTTAAGTGCAAGTCATATGTTGAAGCAATATAAATAAGTGCAGAAATGCAATATAAATAAGTGCAGAAATTGGACGACTATGCTATTAGAAAGGAGTTTTTAACTGTCAACTTCCGTCCTTTATTACCATTCGAAATATTAATTATTGCTTTAAACTGATTGTACTCTCGATATTGTAAACATCTGACGTCGACTTGCAAGTCAAACTAGTATTATTTTACTGTTTACTTTGCTGGTCTATCACAAACTTCTCCTAGACTGAAAATTCCGATCTGAAATTTTTCATTTCATCGAAATCTTAACTGGACCTTTCCTTATGGCCATAATAGTACAGCTATTCATGTACTATACTATGAAAGCGGCCTAGTATACTGTGATATTTGACGATTCTATTAATATCAATTAAAAATACCGGTTAAACTTCAACTTCTTTATAGTTAAGCTATAATTTGCTAATTTAAAATAGTTTCATAAATATTGTTTACTTTGTTAGTCTATCATAAGCATCTCCAAGAATAAAAATTTCGGTCTGAGAGTTTTATTTAAATGACAGCGTGGCATATTAGGATGTTGTGGATATTTAGCAATTTCACTAATGACATAATGTCAAGACATAATGCAGGCTAGTTCTAGCTCTTCTCAATCGATCTTTCGTATGTAATAACAATTAATGGCCTTTCAGAATAATTTGTGAATTAAGGATTGTTGACAGCCTTTCGGATGTTTACTATTTCGTGTCAGAATAAAACATTTTGGTGGTGTTTTTCGGCTACGATATAACTTCCTAACATATAATGGTTTGGCCAATTCAAAATTCTATACAACGTTTATCATTCTATTGCTTTCAAATGCTTATTATTCTACGACAAAAAGTATAGAACGGCAGTGTTTTCGGTAGCGATAATTCTGTACCGCAGTTTCTAATTTATGGTGCTACGGAAGGGGATTAAAGTAGTTTAGGCAAAGCAAAAGCAGATTCCATATTTATCATTTGTACATAAGAATCCATTCTAACTTTTAAGTAGCTATGGGTTGGCCTTTGTAAAGAAATACAGCAAGTTACCAGAACCCAGTTCCTTGTGAGACAAAATCAATATTACCATTTTCTTATGTTAGGTATACCAGTACCAAAGAAACCTTTTTATTTTAAGACGGTACTTCTCCATTCTTTCTTCCATTATTAATTTTTTAAATGCCGGTCAATTCTAAATTGGGAAATTTGACGTAAATCTGGATTTCCTTACCAAGAATTTCCTTTCGTATTGTAAAGGAAAACAGCAATAAAATATAAAGAATCTTTTTGTCTGACAACATGATTATTCCTGCAGTTTCATCTCTAAATATACTTTGACATTAATGTTATGACATTCAACTAATATCACTAGTATTAATGGACGTGTCAAAATCTTACTAGCTAACTATCATTTAGAGCCATCAGGAATAAACCATAATATATAAATACAGTAGTATTAAATTGCTGCTTACGATTTTTGATGTTGCTATAGGACTTAATAGAAAGAAAGTAAATTGATATAAATACGGACAATATTTATCCAATTCTAAAATAGTTTGGTAAGTTTGTATTCTTCAATATTAATAGAGTTAATGAGCGTAAAGGTCTATTATAACAGGATAAGTCATGGCAAGTATTATTTATTTTACAGGTAGTTAATTTGAAGATAGAGAAGGACTTGAACCATGTTTTCTTTCTTTAAGAAAAAGGTCAGTAGAGAGAGGGAGATATTACTGTAATCATTTGTACTGAGATTATAGTTCGGTCTTTATTAATAAACAGAATATATTTTACTATAGTACGAAAGTTTCTCTTGACTAGTAATTACTCATGAAAGAGGAATCTCGAAATGCTCACTTTATTTTTTCATTTTTTCCCTACCTGTATTAGAACATAGTAACAAGAAGAGAAATTTATGAGGCAGCACGTAGTATTGATGATAAGTTTTTAAATAGCCATCCTCATGAAATTGATATTTTTGGACCTAAATACGTATGGATTAAAAGACCAATTTAACCTTACGCCTTTTTTAATAGTTTGGCAGCTGTTACAAAAGTTCCTATAATGATTTTAATGAATCCGTATGATTGTTCATTTGAATTTCAGGTTGCTTTGCATAGAAATGAGAAGCCACATGGTACTGCATTGCACTATGCGGCAGCTCGTAACGATCTGAATGCTCTAAAAGTTTTATTATATTATGGTGCTAATCCTAATTTACCAAATGTAAGTCTACTGCAATTGAATTCGTCATTAAATACGCTAATAAAATTATGAAAAGACAGTAATCTTCAATCTATCAACTGCATTTATCTTGAAATTTCATTTTCATATGGATCATTAATACATGATTGGCAAAAATATGGTAGCTATTAAAGTACTTATCAATGCTCCAAATAAAAATAGACAGTTCTGTTCGCGTACTTTTGTTAAATAATTAGCTATAATGTGTTGATAAGATTACTTAAAGTGGTCAATTTAGTATATAAATGATAATAGCATATTTATTTGTGAATTGTAGTATAGCTTTGTCAATTTTCTCTAACTAGCATGTTTAAAAAGTGCGAAAATAGTATATACTGGTAGAACGGATATTGTATTGGGATTGATAGCCTCTTTCCGTTCTGCGCTATTTTTCCTCTACTTATTACTTTGCTATTAACAGAATCATTACGTTACATTAGAGCTTAAAATAGGTTGATAAAGTGTCATTTTAAAATATTTTAATATCAAATTGGAGAACAGCAAGATAGTCTTCCTTGACTAATGAATTATTAATGCGCTTATTTTAGAAATGGGGCATGACATCAGTGCATTACGCTGTTAAAGAAGGGAATATTCTCATGGTCCAAATTTTATTCTACCATGGTGCAGATTTAGATATTGCCTGTCGAAAGGTAAATGTGAATAAAAATCTCTTCATTTCTTCTCCAGAAAGATTCATTGTCATTGCATAATGGATTGATCACTACTTGCAGGAAAATAAGACCCCATTAGAATATGCCGAAAGTTTAGGCTATTCTGAAATGGCTACGTGGCTAACTAATCTTGCGCGTAGTTATGTCAATTTATTTGGAAATAAAGTGAGTTTAGTGAATTGATAGAGAGTTTATGAGATAGAATTAGCAATGATTGCAAGTTGGTACTGTATTTTGCTTGAATTAGCTGCTGTATAAGATAGAGAAATAGATTAATACTGTCCAATTTTACTATCATAGTGGAAAACGAATGTGCCTGATGTAGAAACTGTAGAAAGGATGTATCCTGTGAAAGAATTCGACCAATACAGTAGCGATTTCAGTACTGATGGTTCTAGCAATGATTCCATTATAAATCGAGATGAGATTGATGGTGATGAAATCTCCGAAAGACAGAGTGTAAGTTTCTTGACGTAAATCTTACCTATCACGATAGATTACCGTTATACCATATCTAATATTTGTAAGTAACATGTAGTATTAAATCAATTTGATCGACGATATAAAAATGGATGCTCATCAAAACTCGTATGAATGATTTAGTTAGAATAGACTGCTTACCGTTCTATCATGTCTATAGAACTGTAAAAAGTATTATGCAGTACAGTATATGCTCAATTTGATCTACAATGTAAAATAGATACTCATCAAGTATAAATGACTTGGTTAGAATGAACTTTCGCTCTACTATGTCTAAAAGCTGTAAAAAGCAGAAAGTAGTAAAAATCGATATCATCAACTATAAACTACTTAGTCGGGATAGAGGTCAAGTAAACTACCAAGATCAATATCGCCCTCATTCATTGTCGTAACCCTATGCTTTAATTATTTGAAATCATTAGAGTAGCCCCATGCCTAGTCCACAAGTAAGGCGTGTAAGAAGAACAGTTATGAGAGTTCCTGAGAACAGGCAAGATCCCGATGACGAAGATTCTGATGCTGAAGAAGGTTTGAAATAGTCCTGTAGAGTCCTCATTTCTTACCAATATAAACAGCCATTCGATTGAATATTTTTCCCAAAACGCTATTTCTATATAAAGACGATATTTAGACGTTACTTTGCATATAAAACTTTCAAATTGTTAATAACGGCCATTTTTACTGCCTTTGAAGAATAGAGAACAGAAAGAAAGGAGGCTTCTGCTGCTGTGTAATCTTGGTATGAGGACAATTTTTAGCCTGAATTTCTTAGACCAATTTATCCATCGTTATAATACCATGATATCCACCAAGATTCGAAGAAATGCTTCAAATGTAATAATTCAATCTATAAAAGAGTAACTGGCTGCATCCTATTGATCAGGCTTCATCAATCTTATTCACCCGCCGAAAAATATCTGACAACCAACAGCTTATATACTTTAACCAAGAAAGAAAACTCTTACTTGAAGATCGATAGTTACATATTCAAACTGCTAGATACTGTATTATAAGTATATTTCTCCTTTTATTTCCAAGTCCAAAATCATTTAAATAATTCATGATGACTGCAGAGAGCCATGTCAGTATATTGCAACTTTTTACTAAAATTCTTCTTAAAGTTTTTTGATGGCCCTCGTTGCCTTCAGTGTGTTCCCGATCTTATTTGGAAGGAAAGCGTGCATACCACATCCAATTTTTTCATCTATTTATCTATAAGCCACTTACAAGGGTGCATGAATATAAATGATGAGCTGTATGCAAGTTAATTGCCCAATTTTTCGATTTCATAGCAATTCTATAATATATTTTAGTTGGATACGTTTCGAGATTTCTCATCTGCGCATCTATATCTCTTAATAGCGTATAGATACGAATAATAAGTTCAGCATAGCTTATTTACTCGATTTTTTGGGTTCGGTTACCATCTATCTATGATAATTCCTAGTGTATACAATTGAAGAAGTGTAGCTAATACCTAAATGTTTGTTAACTTTATTTAAAATAGAAATACTACTGATCTATTTAGTAAAATCAAGCGTTATCAAATTGCAATAAATCAAGCACATCTCTGATAGTGAAAATGAGATTTTTTAATATTGAATTTAGATATTAATGATGAGTTAATGACTTTATCCTATATTACATTGGATTGAAAATGGTTCTATTCAAGTAGAAAACGTTAGCATGTGTGAATTGATGTTTTTTAAAGAGTTAATACTATATTTCACCTAGAGAAGAAATATGAAGTCAGCAGATAAATGTTTAAGGAAATAGCGATAGTTACTTATCTGAGCTAATGGTTTTTCAATGAGTTTGATTTTTACTTAGAGAAGCGAGATGAAGTTAGATCAATAGCATGAGACAGATAAATGATTAAGAAAAATAGCGATAGTTGTTTAGAAAAGTGATAGCATGCGCGATTTGATGGCTTTTAAAGCTCGTATTTTACTTATTAAAGAAGGAACATGAAGTTTGTCAAATAAGATGGAATAGATAAATAAATAAATGAGGAAGGAAAATAATAGCAGTTGTTTGAGATTTTGAGTGAGGTACTTACGTTATATCGATGATTCTTACTATAGATTTGGGCAAAAAAACCTGAAAACTATATAATATATCACTATATATAAAGTGCATAATATATCATTTCTATTATTAGAATTGAGCTACCTCTTGATCTACTAGTATACCTATACTTTTTGATCATTTAGTAACACATTCTGCTATAGCATAATAGCTTGAATGAAAAGCAAGATGATACTGATATTTCATTTCTCTCATCGAAATAGAACTGCCTTCTGATCGACTAGCATGCTTTCAGTTGGGTTAATAACACTTTTGCTAGGAAGGATGCAAGTGAATTGAAAAAGAATTCATTTTAGCTCGTTTGCGTTTAGCACATTGCGTATGATTTTGTCTTCATAATTAGGTCAATTCTATAACATATGGGCTTGAATGAAAAGCAAGATGATATTAATATTTCATTTCTAGCACTGAAATTGAGCTACATCTCGATCTACCAGTATACCCGTATTTTCCTGTAGATCAGTTAGTAACTCATTCTGCTACAGCATATCGGCTTGAATAAAAAGCAAAACGATACTGATATTTCATTTCTATCGTTGAAATTGAGCAACGTCTAGATCTAGTAGTATATCCATACTTTTAGTTCAGTTATCGACCTATTCTGCTATAGCGTATTGACTAGAATGAAAAGCAAGATGGTATTAATATTCTAAATCTATCGTAGAAATTGAGCTGTCTCCTGATCTACTACTAGCATACTTTCAGATCGGTTAATAATCCTTTCTGTAAGGAAAGATGCAATCGAATAGAAAAAAAATTTATTTTAACCAGCTTGCGTCTAGTACATCTCGTTTAATTGATCTTAATTAGATAATCCTAGAGCATATTGATATAGCCAAGTGGAAGGAAAAGATTCAACCAATCATTTTCGGTCTACCATTCAATATCAATCAATTTATACCAGTATGTATTTAATTGTCTAATTTGTGCGGTTGTTATTTCTAAATACATTAATGTGAAAAAAGGATTGGCATAATTGAATTCGAAGGCTTATACAGTATGCCTTAGCTAAAGCAATCATGAAGAAACTGCAATTATCGATCAAGTTGCCCTTTGATCAATGACTGCTGTAGAAACCCCTGCTATTAATTCATTTGTTTACAATCATTTTGTTTCAGTTAATCAATACAGTAGAGAGCTTAATCAATAGCTATAACACATTTGTAAGAGATTCTTCCATCAGCTTAACCTCTATCATTATGGATAATCATACTGCATACATAATGCAAAATGTTGACGTAATCTAATTAAGTATGGACTTCATTAAGAGTTTATAGTAATGTTAATACGATATAGTGTTCAATAGAGAAGTAGATGAAAAATACTAGTGTATAGTACGCTACTTAAATTTCGATATAGATTTTAGATTGAATATGTTATTATGCCATTCCGTACCGTAATGATTTTTTCTTACTAGGGGTGCTGGAACAGGCTATACCAAAAGTAATTCGACCTGTCGTTTAGGCAATAGATCAATTTCACCTCATATCCACCTCCGGAGAAATGGCTTGTAAAAACGAATAGCAAGAACTACAGGTATCATTTTCTCGACTTTCTACTCATCCATAGTGTTAAAATGCAGCCTAGTAGTGTCATAAGTGTTAATATGATGCCTTAATAGTAAGTAAATGGATTTCTAGCTTCGCCTGCTTGAATTTATTCTGGGCATCTCATATCGCTAAACTTGGGTCACATTAGCTGCAGCGCTTATGTTCGTAGATACAATGTAGAAAGCTGTGAAAAAAATTCATCCTAGGTTCACTACTGCTTGTTTAATATAAAATTTTAACTACCTTACTTTTGTTGCCTGACTATTTCTCTTGTAGAAAGTGTAAAAATGAGTGACGGAAATGATCACGGATCTGTTACCGAGTTCTGCTTTCATTTTGCTATCTAATAACCCCAATTAAACTATTTTACTATTCTGCTGCCTTATAATAGCAAAGTGTAAAAGCTCTAAACAGAAATATTGTAGATTTATTACTGATTGCTTATGTGAATTTCAATGAGTCTCAGTTTAACTAAGACTAGTTTTCCTGTGAAAAGTTCTTTAGTTAAAAAAAGTAGCAAAACCTGAGAGTGTAAATGTGTATGCCTACGTTTTATTGATTTCTATCGGCTCCTAATTAATTGTATGTATGGAAAGGATAATCAACTTTCGAGGGCTTGTAGTAATGGCCGTATATTTGTATAATCATCATTAATATAGCTGAATTACTTATGCTTATATATTTCAATGATGTAAGCAAAGCACCTGTATAAAAATATTAGTATAGAAAATCGTTCAATTCCGCTTGTATAAATAAACAGTGCTGATTGCAAAATGACTTTAAGCTGCACACCTTCAGACATGCTTTCATCTAGGATAGTTAACTTCAATATTAAATAATCCACGGAGTAAAGCAATTTTATACTTATCGTAATATTGTATTGCTAGGTCGTAAAATAAAATGTAACTCAATTTCGTCCGTGTATTTCGCTTACTTAGTCCTAATTTACTTTCGATAGTTACTTGCGCTTTATGAAATGATATTTTATATTGAACAAGGGTTAACTAATTATGTTTTTATATTTAAACTCACTAATTACTTGGTAAATGGCCACATAGCAATCAAACGACAATGAAAGAAATTATTGCGATAATTGTGTTCTGCTTGGCTCTCATAAAGGGCGAGATAAATTCGGAAATTTTAATTGGTAAGGAATAGCTACCTTCTGGAATGTCCAATTATATTTTATTAACATTTGATCTATATCTTTCATCTCTTTGCTGGTGGATGAACAAACTTATTCTATATCTATAATAACTTTACTTGCAAGATTTTAGCCTCTAATTGCCTGAATTATTCCTAATGAAATTTTAAATAGAATAAATCATACCTGATTAGCTAAATATTAAGCACAAAGTTTGAGTTTCCTTAAGGACGGCATTAACTTAGTGTAAATTGCTTATGTACCTTAGTTTCCGAAAACAATTGCCATCAGGTTTTCGACAAAGATCAAGGTCAAATCACAAGCCTTGGTTATCCGACATTTTCTTCAAGTAATAGCAGTTGCACATACGTTATTAAAGCTAAAAAGGGTCAAGTTATTTCCTTGCAATGGAAAGATTTCAATCTACCAGCTGGTCACGATCGTTTATGCCATGGATCTTCAGACTCAGTGGTTGTTTATGACGGCCGCCAAATAGGCATTAATAATTTATATACACCAATGTGCGGTAATCATTCGTTTGATATTACTTCCAGTGGTAATATGATGACTGTTGTTTTATCTTCCACATCTGATGAATTCGATATAATGAGCTTTTATCGAGGTTTTAAAGCTGCCTATAAATCAAGTAAGGGCTATCTAGCTTATTCGTGAGATTTTTGGTTGCATAAGTGGCAAAGTCTATGTAATCTTTATTTTTCCTCCTTAATTGTATTTCTTTACCATTTCTAGTGTCACATCACTGCAAAAACATGATTTATAAAACTGGTTATGGAGCTATCGCTAGTCCCCATTTTCCTATGGCTTATCCTGCAAATTTAGACTGTGTATACACGATAAAATTAAATCAAGATCGTGTTATGCTACTAGAATTTGCGGAATTTGCATTGAAGCCAGTTAAAGGAAATAACAATAAGATGGCAATGGACGATTGTGATGATTATGTAGAAGTCTATGAGGGTGCAATCAGTCAGCGAAATCGTTATTTTAGACACTGTGGATATTATAAACCGCATCCTATTACTACTGGTGGTAACATCGTCCATATTAAATTACATTCTGCAAAATCCCAACTTGCGCTGTACACTGGCTTCAGAGCATTTTATTACTCGGGTAACACTATAACATATTTGACCTGTAGTTAATATAACTTTTATTAATCGATGGCGATCCAGCTCATCCGTTTGTTCTATTTCGTTATAATCGATTAGGTGTTCCTAATAAATGTGGATTGTTCTATGGCACTCCGTCTGGAGCTTTAACTATTCCAGTTATACCACAAACTAGCGGTATTAATGTTGAATGCCAATTTACTATTAAAAGTCCGCAAGTAGCTTACTATCGAGTTCGTTGGTTAAGTTTTGGCCAAGATCTTTTCAAGAAGGGTTGTGATGAAAATAATTACATTGAAATCTACAACGGATTTTATGACAAGAAGGATAAACTACTAGCTAAGAAATGCGATACAAAATTAGATGAATTTGATACGCAATATAATGAAATGTTGGTACGATTCAAGATTGAAAAGTTCAATCCGTCAAGAAATTTTAAATTTATATACATCGGAGGTAAGATTGTTGTGTAGTATTTTAGTAAGTGCTCCTGCCTTGAAGCTACAAATTGAATGAGTAATGCTTGCATAGAAATAGAGAAATTCTAGATTATTTTTATATATAGAATAGCAGATTCTGCGATATTTTTCACTTTATCTACTTGATAAAGCTCTATTAAGTTAGGCGCTTAGAACAGTCTGAAGTGAAGGAAATATTAACTAGTAATATATCTAAATTTTTATAACCACGGTACAAAATTTATGATGTAATAATTATTGATAATCTTTAATGTATAAATTTTTCAGTCTTTGCGGGCAGAAATAAATATGATGAATTTAATTAAGTAAAATTGCATCATTTGCTTTTACTAGTTACAAATAATACGGTGAAGGTTATAACCGATAAAAATCAGACTTGTACGGCCAAGACAACAATTGTTTATCGATATAGCGGACCAGAAGTTATTAGCAGAGAAGTGAAATGTGAATTATGTAAGTTAAGAACCGAATATTTGTAGAGTACTTTAATTTGGGATAGCCCACGATAGTTTTAAACCAAAAAGTTTATTTTTGATGACCATTGAGAGTGGCGAAGTTTAAATATTAGTTGAGAATGGTATTTCTTAGTAGTAATGAGAATTTTGAGAATAAATTAAGACTAAAGATGCATGAATTGGAATATTAATAGAGAATGTTATTTTGTGCGGCATATGATCTTGAAATTTTAGTACTCGCAAACAATTTTGCAATGGCCATGAGAATTTAAAAATGAAAAGCTTACAGAACAATGTGACTTCTTAATAACGATAACAGTCATACAACTTTTAAAAATCAAATGTTATTCTAGTAACATTCTTATGCATTGCTACAGCATTGCAATGATGATAGAATGTTTTCTTATCAAGCAATTTTTCATTCCTATAATGTTTGAATTTTATTTTAGTTTCCATTGGTGGATTACCATTTTGGGCATCGCTCCTGATTGTATGCGGTGCCGGAGGTGGTGGCTTAGGAGCTATCAGTGTAGCATTTTGCTTAATCCGTAGACGAATTAGGGCTCGAAGGCGATATCGACGATTTGAAAGGAGTGATAGCGAAGGATCGCTATAACGTTAAAATATCGTCTGTTATCAATACAAATTAAAATTTCAGCATTGAATTAAAATATTCTTTCTTAGATATATGCGCAACGCATGAATACTGTCGCTGATAGTCTTTTAATAGTTATTGTAGATAGGTACTCTAATGACTGTACTTGATATTTCCTAATGGAGAAGACTTCATTTAGGTTATAGAATTTTAAAATCTCTTAAATTCAGATGTAGCAGTTTAGAGTTATTAAAAGGACTACGAATTCAAGTGTCGCTAAAGATTTATCGTGAATGAATCGGAAAGTAATTAACGTATAAAAAGTTCTATAATTAATGGTTTAGTAATAGCAGATAAGAATTACATCTATTCTGTCTTAGAAGCTTAACGAATTGTTGATATATAATTGATCCTGTAATCATCGATACATTACAAATAAAGCTGTGGACATCGTGAGCAAACCTGTTCGTCCTTCCATCACGAATGAATAATTCACTGTTCTTGCTAGTAGTTTTATCCATTTTGAACAGTGATATCATTCATGCAAACATCATTTTACACTTCTTATACGCTAGTACGTATAATAAATGAACTGTAAATTAATTGCTGAACAAATTTTAAGGCTTCTTATTTTATTGAGAGGGTTTTGGATGGCTAGATTAACAGTATCATATTAACAACATTGGCACATGTCTATGTAAGCTGTAATCAGTCACTTTTATTAATAATTTACAGCTGCTATGGGTAAAGTGAGATTAAAGTCACCATTAGTCGCTAGTCCAAGCCATAGTACACATGGCGATCAATATTTGTTAACCATAAGTAAAAATTTTCAAAATTAGCTTTTCTAAACAAGCAAGAGATGGTTGCAAGTACCATTTCTCTTTGGAATAATACATGAGTAAAGTCAATATAGTAATGTTATAGAGAAGCAAAAGATGCAACTATATTACAAAGCACGATCGTGGTCATTGCTAGTGTCATTAGAGATGTTAACCAGTGTCAACATTTCAGTCATTAACTACCTTCCATGTATATATAAAGTATCGACACAGGATAGTCCTTCAGTATATCGGTTGTACATCGCGAATGATTACATCTTCTTGTGGCCTAAGAAAATTCATACAAAAATTAATTTACAATAGTCATTACTTTCAGTTTTTCGTAACAATGTTAAGAAATTGCTAGTAAATTGATATTTCAAAACATCTGACATTGATAAATGTTATCATTGGTGTAATACCTATCGTTGCTGTCAGTGGGTACTAGCCCAATTTTATTGACCGTTGAAATGCCGTCAGAAATACGTCCAAATACGGTATGCTTTCCTACAATTTCATGAAATGTTTTATTGATTTACAATGGCACTTACAAGACCTGTGACTGATATGGAAACGAGTACGACGATTAAAATGATGATAACACGACGTACCATCTAGCCATTGAGTTGGTGCTAAAGTGATAAAAAATTGACTACCATTCGTATTGGGGCCGCTACAATTTATAACAATAATACAAAAGTGATGTTTTAAACATATGATTTTCATTATGACACATTTATCAGATTACATTTATCAGATTGGTTTAGGAATGAAATCAACCTGTTTGCCATTGATACAATGCCAGCACCAGTATGCTTCAGTTCTTTCGTGAGTTCATCCTCAAATGTTTGCCTAAGCAGTACATGAGAGTTTCATTAACAGAACTGTAAAATCAACAAACACAATAGCAACTTTTTGGCTAGTCCATGGAAATGGATGTGCAATTTAACCACTTCATTTTAACTGTTATTCTTTTGTAAGAAATTGATTGATGGCTAGATCGCCATGGTCAAGATTCTACTTTTCTACTACAATATAGCATTATGATTACCCATAGATGGATGCACCGCCACGACCCGTTGCTGTAGGATCACCAGTCTGAATCATGAAATCCTACACGATTGTGAAAAGTGCAGAGTTACCATCACATTGCATAATTGACTTTGATTCCATTGAGAAAAATTGAGCTAGTTTGCAATCAGCTACTTACCCGTATGATTCGATGGAACTTGCAGTTGTTGTAATAGCCTCTCTTCGACTAGATGTACCCATTCAAAAGTAGACGATTAATGAACTATTCCATCTTATTGGAATACTAAAACAACAGTTATAAAATACGCCATCCTAGCATAGGAATACTTGCTAGTTTTTTGTATGCGCTATAATAAAGGTATCATGTCATGCATCGAGCAATGACCATGTAGTTCAACTTACCAGCTCGGCAAAATTACGACATGTTCTAGGTGCCTGATTCCAATATAATTCCACAACGAAATTACCCTGTAATCAACAGCAGTGATTAATCATCTGGATATTCCACGATAGAAACACTCTATTACTTGCATGTCTAAATAATTGATGAAGGCTAAGAATGATTATTCTACGACGACTGTGCTTACCATCGATGTCATAAAAGTGAGATGAGAAACTCGAGCGTCTTCAGCCATTTTTGTCTGGAGCTCGCGGAGACGATTTGAATTTTAGTGCAGTACACCGTATTGAGCAAGCGTACTGCAAGTCCGGTTCATACGGTACATTACAATGTAAAGTACTGTAGATCGGTTTAGTTTGTACTGTAGCATATTGTACAGTACAGTAGGGACTACCGAGTGTACCGTACCGTACCGTACTGGACCGGACCGGACTGGACCGTACTCAAATAGTCTCCGGCCTTGACGGCCACTCGCCATTTCCACGACGACAAGTTCTACTGCCAATGGACCTTGATTGGATCGGCTGCACGAAATCATCGAGCTAAAAAGAAATGCGAAAAATGACAACTTCCAATTGCAGGTTACCAATAGTAGCGAGATTATCTTTTCTGCTAGCTGTAGTACTGCAGTTGTAAATAAATGACACTGCTGAGAGGTTGAATTTTCAACTCTTGTATGGCTTGATTGTACAGTATGCCGGTTGCTGCATTCCATGCATCGCAATCATACTGACCCAAGAAGTTGCCAGCATGGCGACGTGGTGGCTCGATCATGCAGACGCAGTTGCTTAAGCTATCCCTTCTACTCTACTAATGCATCTCGAGCGGCCATTATCCTACATACAATTGTTCTTTCTTGTTAGTTTGACAGAGCCACAGATGAATGTTGCAACTTCAAATATGTTCAAACAACTTTTGTTTATACCTGTAATTCATTCATTGTAAGCAGTTGATTGTGACTATTAGTCTAGCATTGAGTTCGATTGCTGTTCTCTTTCAACCTGTATTCTAGATTCTTTGCTAGCGGATATTGCAAACTAGGAAATAATTGCCCCTATTCGCATATCGCGACGGAAAAGAGTACTGAAGTGGATAATGTAATGTCAATCAATTGATTTTAATTGAACTACTACTGTCCATGGTATTGTATAGATGACCAATGTGCTTCATAAGTAATACATCAATAGCGCTTGGCCACTTGGCTTGCAGCATAGACACATGATTAGGAATGGACACTTTGTAGTTTTCATGCAAATTGAAATGACTTTTCGCAGTAATGATTAATTTAGAACTGCTGTACAATAAAACGCATGCATGGAGCTGGTGATAGACAGTCCAATCCGTTGGATTGGATCATTTTCTAGTATAGTGTGCAATTCCACTCAGTTTGAGCATGAATCGTGCAAAGTAGTCACCAACAAATGACTTGTGCAAACTTTCTATTGTCTTAAATCTTGTCCAGCGTTCATTAGTACAGCACTAGCTAGTATGCTTGCCCTAACAGTCGTTCTATCCCAAGCCAATTTTACGATTGTAAAGGAACTTTCTTTATTACTGTACAGTATGATAACCTTGTGAGAATTTCCATGATACCGTAGAGTATAAACAGTGTGGCAAGGCTTCAATGTTAATTGATATGGGCCACGGATAGATATTTTCAATCAATTATACTTGTAGAAGACCATTCTTGTTATTGTTTGTATCATGTTATTTATTCGTAATGACAATTTCATTCTTTCCATTAAATTTATAAACAGATTTGCAAATATTTTAAACAAGGACTGTGCTTTAAAGGTAGCAGTTGTGAACTTAGTCATGGTAAACCTACAGCCAAAAGGTTGGTTCTCTATGACAATACATTTAAACTCTTTTATAATTCTCAGAAAAAGAAACGCATCCATTTCACTTTTTGCGCAAACAAATAGTAGATACTTTTAAAATACATGTGTCAATGGATATTCTACGGCCTTATGTAAATTTTTCCTATAATTTCTTGAAATTTTCTTAATAATGTTATCGTTAACGGTACATTAACCCTACGACTAAGATGCAGTCAGTTAATTGTAACAATGATAGCCAATTTTTTCTTGTCATAATCCATTTTAAGCTATGTGTCATATTTAATAATCGTTGCACCGCATCATAACGTTCATCATTCAATTATAAAATGCCTAAAGCTATAATTTTGTAACTCTATTTTTAATTTAATTAGAATTATCAAACCTGTATCGTTGGCAGCTGAGAAAGCGGTACGTACATATTGGCATTTATGGCTATATTGAATATGATTAGTGAAATTGTTGGTATCTTGCAATGAACCAGTTTTAAAGTAAATTAACGTACTGGCTTCTTAGATGACTAAAGCTAATGGAGAAAATTCTCGGTCAAGTAGCAACAATTATAAGGACAGGTGGCTACATGCTGCAGAATTTGTTCCTGTAAGTATCTTGATTTACTGTATATATCGTAGACAAAGTTAGATATTGGTTTGTAGAATTTCTTGCGTCATCAATTTTCTTGTATCTTATACAGTATACAAAGATTACCATCACGTAAATGTGATAGATTGTCTTTTTATAATGTGTGTTTCAATACATGATTTATAGAAACAAAGGCTTGATACTACGGAAAATTCCAATCATGCAATGCCTTCTTATGCAGATGTTGCAAAGACTTCAGTAGAATATATGGATGAAATAGATGATGAAGCTGCAGCCTTGCTAGTAAGCTGTCTTCTAATATTTAGGTCATTGTACAATGTGCATATACCTTTAATTTTTTAACCCGTTTTTTATACAAAATTTCTGTCATTGTTTTATAACGATCTACAGTTATGCCCGTTTGCACAAGTTGGCGTTTGCAGCATTGAAAAGTAAGTCTGTTTTCAATTTTGAGACACATTCTTAGTTATTAATGCTATCGACATGTTGCCCTATGTTCATGCTACTGTTATTTTTAATAATAATATTATACGTTATCTGCACTAGTTGTCCATATCTACATGGGTTGCAGTGTGATATATGTGGACGGCAGTGTCTTATTCCGGATATGCCTGAACAGTGGAAGGGTAGGTCATAAATTTAGAAAAGTGCTTTTTGGGGGGTTATGCCGAATTATTTATAGCAAAGGAGAATTGATAAGTAACGTTCGAATTTTTTAAATTTGGCAGAACATAAAGATGAATGTATAATGTTACTTGAAAAAAATATGGAATACTCTTTTGCTGTTCAGAGGTTGAATAATCTATTGAACATCCTATTTCATGATCATTTCTGTTTCATATGAGTTTTCATAGTAATGCTTTTATATTGACACAGAAGCGAAGGTGTATCTTGTAGTATATGTATGGAAGATGTAACTGCAAAGTCTTCAAGGACTGAGCGTAGATTTGGTATATTGGGTAAGCTAATGTAAATTAGCTAGCAAACAATGGATAGAGTATCTCTTTTGCTTTTTGTTCTAATGACAGTCTTTTTGTTTGCTCTAGTAAATTGTAATCACCCTTTTTGTATAAATTGCATAAGACAGTGGCGGAGTAGTACAAGCTACGATAACACGATAATAAGGTAAAATCAATTATTCATTGTATCGTTAAGGGTGCGCCTCGACACCCTCTTAATTTCTAAAAATCATTAAACGAATTTGGTGATTGAATTGTATGTTGTAGGGCTTGCCCGATATGCCGAGTACCGTCACCTTTTGTAATCCCGGTAACTGTATATACATGTTAACCTTATTTCATGATGGCTATAGATTCAATAACTATAATTGCTGGTATACTTGAGTCAGAACGGCATTGCAATTGTAATTTTATATTTTTCTTTCATAGAGTGAAATATGGATTGAAGATACTGCTGAAAAGAACCGGTTGATGGAAGATTATAAAACCAGTACTAGGTATGGCAACCAACAATGTGTCCATTTATATTAATAGCTAATGTACCGATAGCAAGTTTATTCTCCTATGCTCTTACTAATTAACAGCCAAAAGCCTTGTAGATTTTTCAATGAAGGGAATGGAACTTGTCGGTTTGGATCGCATTGCTTTTACAGACATGGTAGGTGAAATTAATACAAATAACTGCTTATCGTTTCATCGTGGAAAAGAAATACTGTGTTTATTATCTCGCATAATTTTTTTTATTGTATATGCATGTTTGGTAGCATACCAGGATGGGACTATAGCCGAAGTCAAATTGCGCTTAATGCAAAATTCCGAAGGAGAAGTCAAAGTAGCGAAGAATTCAACGTAAATAAAATATGACGCTATATGTTTATGTAGTCAATTGCTGCTATGTAATGAATAAATCATATACTTTTTCATTAATAGATTATGACTTTTAATATTTGTGATACCTTTAGATTGTGGGATTTTATTGATGCGAGAGAAGGCAATGCTGTAGAGGACCCTACTTTATATGGTGAATAGTCTCGATGCTGCCTATAACTATATAGTCCCTAGTGGTGCATGTTTATCAAATAATTTGACGCTGAGTTTGCGGTATTTCAGCATATTGATATTAATTACGTGTTTGCGACTTTATTACTTCTCATTTTTGGAATACGTATATGTATGTACCGACAATACTATTGTAAGAAGGCGCCGATTGAATTTTTTGAAAAAATGTACCTTGTATAAGAATAATTACCAGTATAAACGAGAAGAAGACAAAAGAAATAGACAGCGATTGCAATTCTGCATATATATTTATATCACACTGTACCAATATCGATGTAGTATAAGAATTCTAATCACCGCGCCTCTATTGGCGTTAGTGATTGTCATAATGATACAGTATAATTAAATACCCTAGAATGGCTAAATGAGTCTTAAAGACGTACAGTATAATGATTAGTAACCAAACGGAATTCAGATTTATGCGGTGTAAATGAATTTATTAACTCTTTATCCTAGGCGTGATAATATTCACGCAAAAAAAGCCGTATGATTTATTGTTTGTTTACCTTCGTGCAACTGTTCAGAATTGACAGTCAATTAATTGAGTTTTCAATTTAAACTTTATTTCATTGGATCAGGAAAAATGGAGTATCATCTGAGAGTCGAAAATAAAATAAAAAATCCTACAAGGTGAAAATTACCTATCATGCTTGTTTTGGAACATATATATTTGCACAATAGTTGTGTCTTTGGCAACTTTCATTAATATTTTCCTTCACAGTGATAGTTATTAACACCTAGTATATTCACATTGATATGTCACAAGAACTATTGAATGGCAAATTTTCACTTTAATTTTACTTGCATCCAATACAAATCATTGCTAGAGTTAGAAGATCTTGCGATTTCGACTGATTCTATCCAATTAGTAATATTTTTAATCAATGTTCGTTCAGCGGAAACTCTGAATCGTTGACCATTATCATAACCATCTATTGCAATAGAGGTATTACGTATGCTTTCAACAATTTCGGCCTTGTTCAATGTAAAGCTACGCGTATCCCCGTCTCGACAGCATGCTGAATAATTGCATTATTATTACGCGGACTAAAGACACAGGTGCGCCTAATAATTGAACTAGTACAAAGATTTAAGTTCGTTGATTGTTCTTTCTAAACACAAATCTTTGTTGTAAGAAGTCATGATGTTTACTAAATAAACCAGATTAAAAAATGGCTTTTTTCGCCTTCTTTTGTCTAAACTTGCTCGATATTGGTAGTTGCCATGTTGAATAATTGTGATCACATCTCTGCATCTTAATGCAGGCATACAGACAGTATGTAGTTGATTACGGCCATATAATGTAGGAAAGTTAAAACAACATTTAATGACTATCTATAGATGCGCAAGTAGGACATGTTAAATGGAATCTTATCATCAGAAGGAGGCGATGCCACTGTTCGATTCTCTTAATATTTACCAATAGTAATAATAATTATTATACGCCCATAGCGGGGGCAAACTTTCTCAATTCAAGAAATAAAATAGTCCCTGAAAACGATTTTAGATATCAACTCTACTTATGATGGGAATTGATAATAATAAATTACTCGTATAGGGCAATGACGATCATGAAAGCAATACCAATCAATAGCGCTATCACTTCTTTAAAAGTTTGCCATGGTTTACAATCATCTAATAATTCTGGAATGACTGTTACAGTTGCAATGTAGATAAAGCCACCAGCGGTAAAGGGTAATATCCAAGTGGTTGCAGCATTTCCAACGACATCGGCCAATAAGCCTACCACAGTACCAGCCATAGCACCAGTTGCTGTCGATAGTTGTAAAAACATTGCCTAATAATGGTATCATATATGGAATATCGACTGTAAGAAAATAGTGCAGATAGGATTGCATCTACTTGCATGATGCAATCCAGTCATTCATAATTGATGTTATTGTAAGACTGCTACACAATTATCAATCAACATGAAAAATGTATTTAAAATTTGCTAACCTTCCTTTTGGAACAACCAGATTGAACTAAAATAGCAAAATCGCCAATTTCATGTGGCACTTCATGAAATAAAATAGTTATGGTTGTAATGATGCCAATCTTTTGGCCAGCTAAGTAGGATGCACCAATAGCTAAGCCATCGGTAAAGTTATGAGTGAAATCTGCGGCCAAATTGAGGAAACCAGATACTTTCATGCCCTCGTCACTATCGTTACTGCTTTCATCACTAGACGATTCTATAGACAGCAAAGAAAAGAAAGAATTAATAATTTACTGAAATCGAAATACGCGTATACCATGGTCAATTTTAGTAGAACATAAGGCTAATACATTATGAATGAGATGGGCACGATTCAAGATTACAAAAAGCAACAGTAGTGATTTATTCGAATAACTGAGACTACAAGGCTGAAAATCGCACGAAGTGTCTTTGAATGCATCTATTACAGCATATTTCTAAACGATTACCATCGTAGGTTATTGCATATAGAAAGTGATGAGAATTTTCTCATCATAGCATACAGTAAAGCTCTTTTTTATCCGATAATCTATTGATGATGTACACAGTACAGTAATCAATGGCCAGTGCATACCGTTGATTTCGATTCTATTTGGGATAGTTTAAACCTTTAACGGGAGTGAAACCTACATACAAAACTGGAGCATGGTACTGTAGTAAGGTCTCCTAATGAATTTTTGTGTCGACTCAATATCAATGTCCATTTTATCAGTAGTCAACGCTCCAGTTAAAAAGGAAAACGATTTTTTTCTACGTGTAGTTAGTGGCGTAAAAGGTGGTTCTGATAGACTAATCCATTGATCACAGAGCGTTGTGACTGCCTTTACAGTAATGTGCTGTAGAATATCTCAACTTTGAAAATGACGCTAAACAGAAAAGCCAATGGCGTAACAGACAAGACGAGTGGAGATTATTTGCATACTGAGTTGATTGATGAGGGGATAGTTGACTGGATGAGAATAAGTGTGTTTATGCTTGAAGAAAAAAATGACCTGATTTTGATTTGCTTGCATCCTTTGCATCATCTTTATTGGTTTTTCGTTTTCTTAACGTGCTATTTTCCTTTTGGGTACTTTGAGAAGTGTTACTGGCTGAATTTTGATCATGACCACCATGAGCTCCATTTTGATGATGATGATGATGTCCACCTTTAATATTGCGTACAAATTTTTCAACGATAAAAAAGGTTAAAACCCCTGCTAAAACCCATAATCCGACCGATAATGGCATAGCATGGACATGATCATGGCCACCATGTCCATGATCGTGGCCACCATGTCCGGCATGATCGTGACCGTGATGATGATGATGGTCATGGCCGGCGTCGCTATCATGGGAATGATGGGGCGAAACAGCGTGAGGTATCAAGTGTAGAAATGCATCTCCTAGTAAACCTCCTGAAGCAAAACTGAGCAAGACCTTCAACAGTGGTGCTTGTTCACTCGATTTACCACTAATAGGAATGAGAAAAAGAATCAGAAACGGAGCAGCACTAATCAACGCCGTCGATAGCAATGCCTCCATCCAAACATTGCCGCTGACTTGTCGCTTGACAGTCGAGTCGCCATGGCTATGGGCGAAACATTGAACAATCAATCCAAGTAGGATACAACTGCATGCCCAAAAGAAACGATTGCCTGGCATGATTTTCATGGCTGGGAAATGGATTCGATCAAGGCAAACACCAAGTTAGCATCGACTGAAAAAGAAATGGTGAGTGAATGCTGGCTGCTAAGCAAGCCTAATGTCGATCATGGAGAGTGAGCGCGAGAGAGTGCCCTAGGGGCGTAATTTTTTTTTTGTTTTTCTAGTATGATTTAGTATCAAACTAAAAGACAATAAGCGTAACGCTATCTCATTGGTTACTTTAATACAATACTCATAGATAAAAACTTTTGTACTGTGCTGTACAATAGTGTACAGTGTACAGTGCAAGACAGTTTGGTGTAATGTGAACTGTACACTGTACAGGGGGCAAGTGAAGTGGCTGTTGGTCGGGCCACAACGTCCAGCCTTGTCGGTTTTGTGGTCATTCTATTTTATTCTATCACTGAAAGCGGACACTCTACTATGGGAAATCCACCTGACAGCTTCTTCAAGACAAAGCATCTCCGACGGTAGACTGTTCCACGGCAAGCTGATGGTATAGTTGAAATGACCAGTCCAACGATCATCCACACCATTTTTAGCCTACTGAAGAATCGCAGAGTTGAAAGAAAAAAAAAAAAATGATGACGTTTACAATGTACAGTCTACAATGCAGTCGAGTTCTAGTACAGTACTTTAAACTGTAAACGGGAGAGACGGACGGAGTGGCGATGTCATGCGTACTCCAGTTATAGGCATCAGCGCAGTTTCACTCATTGCTAAGTTACCGTTTCAGTCCTCTCTTCCTTCCTTCCTTCCCTCCTTCTTCATTCAAAGATGAAGAAGATTTTCTCGATGGTAAAAAAGAAACCAGAGGAACTACTCGATCCATATTTACTTACTCACTGCTAAGTCGCAATGGATTGCTTGTACTGTAGTCCCGGTTTCTTTTTTGTCATTTTTGACTGAGGGGATCGAGTAGGATGAATAGTGGCTTGGCTGAGTGGGTGAATAGGGATCAAGCAGTTCCTGACAGCAAAGACTTCGACGGGTGGACTTCTTATAGAAGACCGAAAATGGCCAAAGCGAACTCGTTCTTAGGGTGTCGATGATGCTGCCTCGATGTTGAGTACAGTCTATTTGAATATTGGATGAGCCCCGGTAGACAGTCAGTAAGAGCATGGATAGTTAAAGATCACTTTATCACAAACTACCAGCACAGCAGTGCTGGTAGTTTGTGATAAAGTGATCTTTAACTATAAATCAAGAACTACAGTTTCTTGTAAACTTCACTTTACTGCACAGTATTTCATAAAATTAGCTTCGCCTTACAACGATAAAGAAGACCGAAAATGGCCAAAGCGAACTCGTTATTAGGGTATCGATGATGCTGCCTCGATGTTGAGTACAGTCTATTTTGAATATTGGATGAGCCCCGGTAGACAGTCTGCAAGAGCATGGATAGTTGAAGATCAAGAACTACGGTTTCTTGTAAACTTCACTTTACTGCACAGTATTTCATAAAATTAGCTTCGTCTTACAACGACCAAGGAATATCTAACTGCAATCGACTGGACTATCCAAATTATGACAGCAATATTCACCGTGGATATACAATTATAATTTTAGTCTTAAGGCTTATTTAGGGCTGTACTACTTAGTTATCGCGAAAAACGTTACTAAAATCGAATCTAAATGCGTGTGTAGAATTCATGTCTACTGTATTAGCTAAGGTCATGAACAAGAAATACCATGCGTCCAGCCCATGCTATGGTAGAATTCGTTCCCAATTCATTGTGATAGACAGCTCTGTAGCTTGGACTACTCGATCCACCGGTATATCGAGTAGTCCATAATCAAGAATAGTTAAGCACGTAGAATGAACTATCCACTGTATGCATATTTATTACACATGTTCACGATATTTCCAGTATAGCGCAACAGTGACGAAGATCGAGTATTATTCCGTGGACCATGAGAAGAATACCCAGTGAGTCCATGATTATTTTGACATTTACAGTTATACTCGGTAAATTTTGCATACTTTGTTTATTGAGTAGAATACTTGAATATACTCACTCAGGAATACGACCAGTATTGAGTTGCAAACTACAGTACTACCTTACTAAGATGCGGCACTGTGCTTAACCTGGTATTCTTTTCGAGAGCAAACTATACTGTAAATATTTCTTTAGTCGTATCTTCATTAATCATAAATAATAATGCAAGGTTCTATAAAGCGCACTAATATTATGCGGTGGAAGGATAAAATACAACTATCACCGATGTAGCTATCGGAAAATCCCCAACTTCAAAGCACAACTCACAGTGAACTCTTATTAGACGATGGCGTCGCCTATTTTTCAATCCCTTACAACTGGATGTTCATGCTATGATTGGATTGGCGTGAGTACAAATGATCAAGATTGAAATATGGACTTCAGTCAGTTATTGGTATAATACTTTCGTATGGGTATAACTGTGAAGGCTAAGAGAATTAGGCTGAGAAGATCCAAGAGTTTTGTTTAGTTTCGGTGATATTTCGGAAGATTGAGGGTCTGGTATAATTGCAATTCAATTACAAGAGAAATCATGAGTGAAAATAGTAGTCTTTATTGAGCAAGTATGAAGAGGATAACTGTGTTACCGTGTATTAACCGAACTAACTAATACGATAGATACATCAAGACAGCTTTGATAATGTAATAGAAGCGCAGCAGGAGGAAACTCTACTTAAAATATCATGGCCAACAATGAATCAGATAGGGTGATTTTTGGGGGATTAGAAATTGAATCTGATCTACTCGTATATCTAGAGAGGCAAGGTTAGTTTCTATAGCCAACGGCAACATATTAATGGATTGGTCATACAATTTCTCTGCAACTGATAATTATGAATAATAAGCAGGCTTTGTGCCACAAGCTTAATCGATCGTTATAAATCATCGTAATGATGATTACTTTTCCAACCCGTCGATATATTTTGTATAACATAAGAATACGGGACATTTTATATATCAGGTCGGATAGTTACGCGTACGGTATATATGAACGAGACCGATTTCGCATCAGGTCTCGTTCATATACAACATATAGAATGTGCGCTATTTAGATTACTTTGCAATTATTGCTTTTATTTGCAGACCGTAAAGTAGTATTCTTTCTGATTCAATGTCGTAGTTTCTCAGAATTGTTAATAACTAAACCTCTTGTACTTTAAGCTTAATCAATTTCTATAAACCATCGTGGCAATGATTATTTTTTCAAGATATAGGCTTAAATGTTATGTATTAGCGAGGGTGGAATAGGGTGTCTCTTCTACCTGGTATATGGTGTACTATAAGAATGCGGGACTTTTATGTACAAGGCCGGATAACTAAACACTGCGTATAGAATGTGCGCTATTTAGATCATTGTCACGTTAGAATAGGGTATCTCTTCCATTCGACATGTCTTATAAGAATATTTTTACGTGTAGAGACCAAATAATCATATAAACTCGTAGACAGCTTGACGTCTAGATTATCGCATAATTAATTGATCACTTTATAATTATTGCCTATCATTTAATAACAATAAGACAGTATCTTTCAGCCTATTATAACTCTATAAATATGCGAGATATATTTTACTTATGACTTAGAATTGAAAGTCTAACATAGTTCAATAGCTAGATAGAGTTACAAGATACAGTGGGCGGTTATTTCGTGGTGGTACTCTAAAATCGTACAGGTCTATTAGTGTCTGGCGATAAATTACGTTTACTTTTTCTTCAAAAGCCTTTTGCATTCAACAACAACCAATATAAAATGCATTTTAAACTTCTACGTACGCGTATACTGCTATCACGACGGCTATTATAGGATTATAATGTATAATTGCACGTAGGTGTTAATGAATTAAAACAACTATTAAACAATACGGACCAGTTCGATATATACTATCGTCATTTTAAAAGAAAGGGTAACCCAGAGAAGATTAATTGATGGTCGAATCGAATGTTACAGTATAATTTCGATAACAAGACGCATTTATGTGAGCAGGATGTAAATGAGATTTCGTATGAGTAATGTGTTTCCAATCCAATAAAAATAATGTGATGAATAAACTAATATTGTTTATGCGAGAAATAAATCGAGTTCTGCTTTAAATATATTTCTAATCGAACCAAATCTTCAATTATTCAGATTAATAAGGCACTGCTGCGTAGGCAGGAAGTAGTAAATCGAATGACCTGGAAGTGATCTTTTTCAATCGAATTAAATCTTGAAGCATTCCGACAAAAATAGCGCTATCGGAGTAAGCAAGAAGTAATTCGAATTGCGTAGAGATAGCCAATTCTAATCAAATCAAATCTTGCCAATAAAACAAGGTGCTGTTGTTTAGATAATAAGTCAATGGAAGCACGGCGATTCAGAGAAGAATTTGTATTATTTCTTGTAAGATTATTTTCTTATCAATTATCTAATAAGCTTCATGGACGTCTTAGCTATATGTTATATTCCAGGATGAAAAATTATGATTAGATTGGCTCAACGCTAATTCAATATAATTTCTGCTACACTCTTCATTCATTAGCCTGAAAACTCGGCCACGGTTTCCCCTAATAAAATACGTCTACAATAAAAGCCTTCAATCGAAGGATTCATAATTAATCATCGCCGATAGATTGAATCACTTGAAAACGTAGCATACTATATCGAACTACTATTCATAATGAATAAGAGGCATGTATGTCATCTTTTTATTAAATTACCCAACATTAAAATAGGAATTATACCGATAATATTTTCGATGAGAAATAAGCTAAAAAGGAAAAATTTCTTTCAATTAATTAGATAACATTAACTGCAGTACGGTCCACCCTTTCTACACAATATTAATTAAACACATAAACAATAGTATATGTTTTAAATACAAGATATCTTACGATATTAAAATCAATGGTACAATAAGTATGAAAATATCTCTCTAGACACATAATATATAACCCTTTCAATCGCAAAGAGTGTTTACAATTAAGAAATGAAAAACTTTACTTTAATATCAGAGTACTAGCAGAGAACAACACTCAATGGATACAACATAATTCTATACGAATATTTTAAAACACATCAACTTACGATTAAAACTATTTAACACGCTCAAAGTGTTGTAAAAATTGGCTGCAACAGGTCATGTACAGTATTATTGATATCGGACAGTTTTTAACATCAATTACTGTAATTTCATCCTACGGTACAGTACAGCATGATAACATAAATGGAACTGAGTAGAATTAATCTTGACATCTTCCATCCTTACTTCGAATGTAGATATTGCTTATAAAGATATATCAATGACAACATAGGTGATAGTATAGTAAAATTAGAAATATATGTAATACGGTATCGATACCGCTTCCTTATAAATATTATAACTATTACAGTACAAGACTTCTAGCTTAAATAAATTCACTTCTAGGCCGCATCAGATTACAACATTACCTATTTAAAATCATAACCAGAAGAGATCATTTTAGGCCATCGTTTTCACCTTGTCTTCATTTTCAGTAAGAAACCAATACATTTTTGTGGACATCAGCTTTTCAATTTTAAAAGCTAAACTGCAGCTTTGAGTAATCCAAAGCGGTTTTTATCCTCAATAGAAGCCACTAATATAAATTAATAAAAATTTCATTATGAATAAACCAGAATTAATACATTAGGACATCATGGTAATTAGTAGCTTCTAACCATAGCGATTTCTGAAGTTCCACAGTCGATAACCTTCGTCGACACTGTCGAGACACCAAAAAGACCAGATTTCTTTTCCTATTCCATCGGCCAGATAACATTATAATAATTTAATCGTAAAACGCCGCTATTAAAGTAAGGGCTCACTTATTCCATACTTCTTAAAAATTACATGATAATAGCATATTTACCATAATAGTGATATTTTCCTTAGTCGAAGTTGGCAATTCTTCCATATCATCAAAATTACATTGCCACGAACACTTCCACAGTTCATTTTCTGTTAGTATTTCTGCTTTCAAGATTCGCCTAATTTGAAACCAATTAAAAAGCAATTTTAGAACTTAGTGTTACTTTGTATTCTGTATCCGAGATATACTGTCGCTTTATTAGGGGTCAGCTCACTTTGTAGTAATCATAATTAATTTCCTATTCATTCTATCCACGAAAGCGTGAGCAACGTATGCGTCTTCTTGCAGATTGTCATATCCAAATGCATCTTTAGACATACCCTATAATTCCACAACACAATAGTAATAAAAATTAAAGACTTGAGTACAAGGATAGATTCAATACAAAAACACAATTTTCATTACAATACCTTTAATATGTGATTTCCTTGAGCTTCATGATTATCGTATGCGCGGATTACCTTCATAATAATTCATTAATTATTTATTCGTGATGCTATTGGAGGATTACGAACATCTCATTTCAATTATCATCTACACCTTTATTTGCTTACGTTATCTCGATGAATAAAACGGGCCGGACGAATTCTATTCAGCTCCTTGTCTATACCTGACATGCTAAGAAAGAGTTATTTCTTATTTTATGAGTATTTATAAATATTTCACTTTGGGCGCAATTGCAGTCTTGTACATAAAACGAATTCAAATGCCAACCTTTTGATGCCCTGAAAAGTACTCGTTGCCATGTCAACCACTCCACCAGTCGGTTTAGCAATTGAACCAATTAAACCTTTGCCAACTCCTTTAAAGAATCCAGAAACACCTTCCTTTTCTGCTCCTAGTGTTCAATTTTAAGCTCAAAAATTAGCGATACGAATAAATAGCGGGCACTGGAGTAATACTTTTAATCGACTGGATAAAGCAGCAATATTACATGTAATATTGTATAAGATTTAGATTAGGATGCTTGCAAAGATAAATTAATCAAACCTTCGATGGGCTTGGTAACTATACCGCTAACGCCAGACCAAAGACCCTTCACACATGACAAGAATTACTCCTTTATGAATTTATCAGTATAACAATGTAAAATTTTGAGAAATCTATTAGAGCTTACTTTGGCAAATCCTTTACCGCCACGCAGTAATCCTTCTCCAAGATCACTTGGCTTTGAAGATGAGGCTTTCTGTCGCTCACGTTGATACTCCTTATCCATCGATAGTGCAGCAAATCCTTTGCCGACAGTATCGGTTATACGCGAGGCGGCACTGAAGGTACCACCTTTATCGTAAATTAAAATAAATCGTGCATTGATACAATTTTCATATGATATTGATAAAGTAGAGTTGCACTAAAGTTAAGTCATATAATACTGAAACGGTTATAAATCTCGTTTCGATTAAAAGAAACGTTTAAAATGTACTATAGATTTATTATAAAATATCCTTACCAATAGTATGGCCTAGTAGGCCAGTGACTCCATGTCCAAGACCTTCAAAAAATTCAGCCGGTCCCGTAACTGCTCCCTTTGTTATTAATATTATCAAATAAATTTTTAGATGATATCATGGAGTATACGAAACTTTATACACGTATAACACGAAACAAAATTCGTACTTGATATGGCTCGTAAAAGAAATCTTGTATGCCGGTCTTAAAGTCATTAAATAGATGTGATGGATTTCCAAGAGCGTCAAGGCCAAAAACAACCATATAAGCTTGCTGAATAAACTATGGTTGATAAATAATAATGTTTGGAAGTCAACGCATTAAATTTTTTATACCTGCATTGATAAATTAATGCAGTATTTATTTAGTTACTTGATTTCGGTAATATTCAATAGTCTGAGATATTAGCTGCTTTCTACTGTAAAACATGTTCCTTCTTTCGAAATAACTTAATCTGATGTTATGAAATGAAAGTTGTAGATAAGTATTTTAAAACTACAAACACCAATAAGAAACGGTAAAAAATGCAATCATGTATTCACATTAAGGCCACTTTTGCTAACCTAAATTGTGCATCACGAACTGATGTCGCAGCTGAGCCAACGGTGTTAATAGCTACATCTAATATAGCACTATTCATAACAAAGTCATCAGTGTGGTTTGTGGATGTTTGTGCTCCTTCGTTGATTGAAAAGCTTAAATCCAACTAAGAAAGGAAAACAGAAACGTATCCTCGTAAGGTAACATTGCATATATTAGCGCAGTAAAATTTAATAAAACACCAAAATTCCATTTTGATATACTTTTATAGGTGATAAATGAAGATCTTGGTAGTAATCCTTCAACTTTTCGTCTACAGACTGAGAAGACACAAAATTTAATTGAAACGCAGAAACACTTTCTGGAAAAAAGGTAACACTTAAGCATAATCGTAAAATGGCTTGCTACCACAGTATCACTCTGAACTTCGGAAGAATTAAGATAGTCCAGATCCTTTTTGAATAAATCATCCTTAAATTGGATATAATTATGCCAATGCATTGGCAACAATAGTTCCACGAATTAGATTCCGATATTGACTAATAATTGAGATCATCATATGAAATAGAATACCTCATTTGGCATGATTCTCTCTTGAAAAATATCAATCATATCCATTATAAATCCTCTGTCTACTTGAATTTTCATTTCTTGTATCAGGAGCCTTAGATACCTTATTAGATTGATAAAAGACACAAAGCTCTATTTCTCTACTATTAAGCTAAAGCAAGTCTTTTATAAGAATTCATAAACGTACTGGATTTGCTTAAAGTCTGCTCGCTCTTCTTCTTTGACAATAACGCACAGTTGAATGAAAGGTTGAGCGGCTAATAGATTGATCCAAAAAATCGTGCAGTTTAGGCAGCGCAGTAATGCAATATTAATTAAGTAGATACTAAAGTTTCGCACTCTAAATAACTGTGATGATACGTTATGGGAACTTATACGTTCTTTAACTGATTTTCAATCGCATTACGCATTTCTTACTTATATTCCAATAATTACATTGAGTGTCTTTGTGTATTAGAAAGATATAGTTCTATTGTCAACTAATCCAAGGCTATGATTGCAATTAATAATTACAGTTGGAAAGTTTAATTTTAATTTATTACCAATTTCTTCACTGGCATATTTTGGCGGAGGGACTGGGCAAAATACCACTGGAAAATACGGGTATGACCTCTGGTTATCAACCTATGTGCAGTATATACAATAGTTATTGTGACATCGAAATCTTCATAAATATAATACCACGAATCTTACGTAAATATTTTCAAAAAGTTATTTTATCACTAAAACCCTGTATTCTATGCATTATGCATTCATTTAAGTAAGTTTTTTCCATTTACCTGTATATTATTTACTGTAACCGAAAAGTATTGTTGACTGGGAGATTTACCATATTCTATGGCTATACCAGGACTATACAGACGTTTGATTGGATGATCATGATTTCGTATCATAATCATTTTACGAAAGTTTACCTAGTTAAATAGCGAATACGCCAATCGCTTACAGTTTATTATAATTCATTAAGAAAAAACTCTGTTTCATGTAAGTTAGATTACCTTAAAGTCTTCGTTCAATATAACTTCTTCCGAGACTTCCTGACCGCGTGCGATCATTTGCTGATAGTTTAACCAGGCGTTCTCAATGCGTTGAGATATTTCCCCTTTTAACTCTTGCCAACGACCCTTCTTGTTTTTATATTTCCATTCACAAGTAGATCTGCAAAATGTAAAAATTTCTTTAAAAATTTCCACTCAACTATAATCCTTTATTGTGTCTATTCATCCATCCGTGCGTGTACTTACGAAGACATGGAAATATACGCTATTTCGACACCAATTCGATCGTTGACTAATGATAGACCGATACCATGGACATTAATGTGTACATCAATATCTCGACGTTCTAGCCTTACTTCCTATTAGTAAGAGATAATTGATGAGAATCTGTAACATACATTCTACAACAGTACTAATACGAAGAATATGTAATTTGCCTTCAATGCTCTAGAGGCAATGCTGGCATCAGGTGTGAAAAGTATAACTCGTTGTAATCCATCCAAAAAGGATATACAGTACATCTTTTGGCCTTTGACTGTATGATCAGCTAGTTGATTCTAATAATTATAATATAAAAATAACAAATAAGGATGACCTGACTGGTGAAAGTGATTTTATGTGACAGAAGTTATTTAAAAGGTAGATTTTTCGCCTTCAGCTATTACCTCTACAATATTGACTTTCTTGCTTTCTGTCTCTTTTTCTCGTCCGGAAATCCACCAACATATCTTTGATGGCCCACTGGGATAATCCAACGCGTAATAACGATGTGTACCAGGTTCTAATTTATGGTTTAAAGATTCATTGCTAAGGATAGAATTAGAATGGCATTTTTTAAACTTTGATACCTTAAACTCTTAATCTATTTATTGTAATCTGACTGAAATAATTTTAAATACTTTAAATCAATTTAAAGGCATTTGAATTATAAACGCAAACAACTTACGATTGCCGATACTCAATGGTCAAATTCGATAATCGGTTAATAAGTAGAGCAGGCACAGAACCACTGGTATATGGGTAAAATGATATTATATTGGATGACTCTAAGATCTGCACGCTAGCGTTGATAGCACCAATCTAATAATAACATTATAATTATTAACGAAATTTTTTCATCACGGTATAGAAAATTAAATGCAAGATAAATGAAATGCAAACTAAAGAATAATCATTAAGTTTTCCTCGAGGTGTATAAATAATAATGTAAGGGTTTATTACCTCGTTGTCTAATTTAAGTAAAAAGCTGTTGTCTACATTAAACTTAAAAGGAGGTGAATAAATTCGACCAGTGCCAGCTGTAATTCGCATCTTTACTTTTCCATTTGATGGCCAAAACGGGATAACCTATACAGTAATATATATCTGTTAGCTTTTTGCCTGATTTGGCAGCTAACGAATAGGCAAATGATAACTTGCTAAAAATGATAATTGTGCATTACGTCCATATCGTTTCATACCTTGCCTGCGGGAACCATCACTGAATATGGGTTATTTACACCACTTTCCATACATGTTATAGCATACTGCGATATAAAAACATCTTAAATATCAAACTCGCCAGATTGCATCTCCAACTTTTACCATTGCTTTTCAATATAAGCGAACGTAGAATTAAGACTTACATTCGTTTGGTTAGAGATAACATGGAAGGGAGAAAACTTCACAAATTTTGTTAATCCGAAATTGGATAAAGATGAACTTATGCCAATCTCAAATAAGTTCTTGTCCTTGAGATTATGACACTGTATACAACCAGCATTACCAACTGCATCAATTGAAAATCCATCTGACCATTTCGTGAAGCCTGGTACACTACAGGATATCTAACATCAATCAAAATAATTTTAGATTATTAATGTCCAATAGTAAATATGTTAAGTTGTAGTGCACGTCCTGTGTCCAACCACTAGATGGCTTATGATAATACAGTGTAGCATAAAAAATATATCAAACACGCATACTTCAAGAGATATAATAACGCTAGTAATGTCGCTCAAAATGTTAAAGATAGTAATTACAATTCTGAAAGCCAACTTGCTACGGCTCAGTTAATTGGTTGCTTTATAAAGTAATTACAAGAAGATACACGTGCAGATATTCGAATTACTGAAGTGTTACCTTGCCACTTGAAAAAAAGTTTTTAGAATTTGTTGAAAATATAATAGGATTGACTGAAGGAGGATGCTCAACAACGGTTCTCCCATCAACTCCCTAAAAAATAATAATAATAACACTAGTAAAAGTATTTTCGATTGCTATTGATATTAAGTACGAAAGTATCAAAAGATCGAATACTCTGAATTATGCACAAATAAATCTAGCTATTGCCTTGTAGCACAGAGGAAAATTCGTATCATTTATCATTAAATGAGAGGCTGATATGGATATTTCTAAGTTTTCCACGTAAAGGCGCATCAATTGTAATTCCTAAGAAAAGATATGGCGAGACATTGCATAAACTAGCTATTGTTTACAGATTTGAAGATAAAATCTAATTATCGCCTTACAACAGTCTTATCTTTAATGTTCTTTGAAGTCAGTATTAGCCCTTGTTTGTCAGTCGAACCCATTACGATATTATTTATTGCAAAGCTACCATGCCAGTTCATTCCTAGGTAATCTAGTAGCTGTATACAAATATAAAATAGGGATTGTAGTATGTAACAAATATAAATTCTATTTGAGTTCAGATGCCCTATATATATACACTGAAATGAAAACCTCTGGAGTTTATCATAACTTCATTGTTCAGAGAACGAAGATTATCACAATCAATATATAAAGATTGATCATACCTCAATTTGGATGACTTGCTTTGCTGTGGGGATCACAGAGTATAAAGAGCATTTCTTACCCTCCTTAAGTACTTCATGTTTGCCGGATCCCTTTCAGTAGAAATGATTTATTCATGCTTTTGAATTAAATCAAAATGAAGTTAATACACTATACGAACCTCTAATCGATAGGAAATAGTATATGGCAGTGCATTTCTCAATACGATACTAGGGGTGACATTAAGAACGAAATGTGGAGTAGAATCTTGTAAACGTTCAACGGGAAGTTTCATGCGATCAACAGAATGATAATTTTCGGAACGCATCTTGACCTAAGAATTACAGGTGACTCTATGATTAGTCAAGTCATTATACAGTGTTTATTACTCGCAAATTTGCATACATCAGAACATGAAGTAACAAAAAGGACCTTCTCTTAGTATCTCTCATAAGTAATACAATTTTAAGCCGCAGTAAACATAACAATGGTAATTGTACTACAAATGAAGTTGTTAACTTCGAATAGCCTATATCTCTGGTCATATTAGACAACGTTGTTGGCAGTGGCTTGCTTTAATGTGAACGTTGTGCAAAGGTGCTAGATTATAATATACTGAAAACGTAGCTATACATTGACAACTATAGCTTTATAATATTATTGCTTGAGACTGCACTAGATTAACTGTACCAGTTTATCTCTAAATTTAATTGACCTACAGCGGCTGATCGGTAAAGAATTCACTTACAATATGTACATTTCTATTTTACTAAGGAGTTAAACTACTTGCCTTAAAGACAAATTGATGACCACTGTCCGATTTGCAAAGATAAACTTTACTAGCTTTTCGACTAGAATCTTGAGCTTTCATGGCATATAATACTTTCCAGTCTACAGGTTCTTTGTGACTATTGAAAAGAATGCCGTCAACTATAGGTGTTATGAATAGCTTACTGTCATATGTAGCGGATAATGGAACACTTGCGATATCATTTGGATGAATAGTCGCTAAGTGGTGAAGTTGGCGATCTTCGGACGAATATAATTGAATTGCAAATTCGAGAGAATTCTTAACCTAAATCGCACATTGTTTCAGTTAGAATGAGGCGTAACAACCTCGTTATCCGTATAATTTTCAGAGTAATTTCAAAATAAGTTACTTGTAATGAAGAGCGGATTGTAACAATTTTTCGGTTCCCAATAACTTCCGTATCTAGTACTAAGGACATTATTCCATCTTTTACCCGTTTAATACCAAAAAGTTGTTTACCGGCCCTAGCTACGGGGATGTCGCATAATTCTGCATACTTGTTTACCTAATTATATAATTTACCACAAATATACAGTTATTCAGTTATGACCTATTATTACTGTTAAATATTGAAATATGTAGCATTATCTTCATTAAAATGACCTTGCAAGTAAGCATGACTTTATCAGCGAACACTGTTCTTTCTGGTTGCAGATAAACAGTCCTTTGATTAATTACTTTATCGCCTTCAACTCTAACAAATGATTCTCTAAGTGATAGAAATTCGCTTCCTTTGTCAAGTAAAGTAAATTTTTCAAATTTTCTATCAAATGCATAGCCAGGCGTAATCGTCGCATTGAAACCCGTCAGATTTCTTAATTCTATTCCTTCAGCTTGTTTTCTGGTATTTTCATCCAAAGACGCTCCCCATGATTTTGAGCCTGTTAGATCCTATTTTAATCGTGATAGTTTCATAAATACACCGTACCATTGTGCATGCAGTAACTTGTGATACACTTTGTGTGCTTAATGTACACTAAATAAATATAAAGTTTTCTTATCTAATATACTCGTAGACATCACTCAAGTATTAATTTACTTCAACTGAATTGAATTTTATGAACAAGCTTACATCAGCTAGCGTCTTCAGGACAGATAAACAGGTTTTAGTAACCGTGAACTGTAAAGTCTTAGTAGAAGATAACGTAACAGTCATCTTTGCATCATTTTCAATACCAGAGAATGATTCTGTAGTACTAATTTCAGATTGGGAACCAGTTTCATATGAATACATATCCGTTTCAGTCGAATCAGCAACACCAGCTTTTGCTTCTCCCTTTCTAACCTGGTCATTTAAAAAAAAATCAGCAGTGAAGCCAGGGAAAAACACTAGTTCATACTATTTTACCAGAATCTTAATGTAATTGTAATAGGTACTTACAGATAGTTTCAACGTCCACGGTTTAAAGACACTATTTTCTTCTATAGGCTCGATTAGTGGTTCCCACTCGCTAACTCTATTGTTATAGTAGTAACTTTCAAGAGCTAAATCTGCGTCGAAGCATAAATTATTTTCCCAGTCTTTAGCACAAGCGTTTACAGTCATGTAGCACGAAACAAGTGGAAGAATAACATCTTCAGTGGATGTCTCAAAAACCACTTTTAATTGTTCACTTTGGAATACGAACTGTTAGTGAAATAATCATTATAACACATCATTCAATTGTAAAGACCGCGGAAAAATTAAGACCGTCATTTACTTGGCTGGCATCCGGTTTATTTGTTAAGGTTTGAATATCATTTGTGCTGGATACAGAAACGAGAGATTTTTCGTCATCTATATTCAGATAAACGTCAGCGTAAGAGGACAAAACGACAATGTTTTGGAATCGGCAATATCATGCACTAGACAAACAGTCTTTTCTTCTAATGTGTTACAGTAATATAAAATTTACTAATATTATACTATTATCATCACTGATAAAATATAATATTGCTACGCTAATAACATTATAGTCGGTCTGTGTGTAGTTCTATTACGCGATACGAAATACTGTACCTGACATTAAATAAGCAAAATCATTTGTGTTAGTTTTCTTTACTTCCCACAAATCAGCTGGAACTTCTTGGAATGATACCTCATCGTCCTCAATCTGTAAAATTGATTGAACAATTTCAGTTATGGATGATATATATTCGAAATCAATGCCACTTCCAATAACCTGATTTTGTCTTAGAGCTTTTGAGACTGCAATAAGCGTTTGCATAAGCGAGGAGGATATATGAAAAAGTATCTTTCCGGTCGATACTTTAATTTCTTTTCCTTTTCCATCTGATGGGATTAAAACGTTACATTTTATATCGCATGGATGCAGGACCTGTTTTAAGGATGGAAACATAGGTTATACGTGAAATATAGGTTGTAAAGAAATAAAGAGAAAAAAAATTTAGAGTAGACCAGGTTTAACCTGTATAGAATACTGTCGACGTTTTTCTCCAAACGCAACTGATACCATATATGAATCTTTGATGTCAGCTTCGACAAGTATCTTTTCATTATTTTTTAGCAGATTCAATTGTATTTCACTCTAAATTTTTTTATAAATTCGGTGAATTATTAGACTTTATATAGTCAAAAATCTATTGTACAAAAATAAACTTAACTACAATTTCCAACTTACAGAACATTTAACATATGGCGAATCTTTGCGTAAGGGATCGGACACTAACATTATCTCTGGTTTTACAATCATGACAGTGACTTTAAATTCCATATTGGTAGGTTTTACATCCGAGGGCTTCACAATATCAGATGCAGATCGCTTTCGTGGTAATTTCAGTGCAGTGTCGATAAGAGACTCTGCATACGATTTAAGGCTCATAATAAAATCGACACATACCCGGAAACAGAAATGATCAACTACAACGTCCACTGTAGGATTTAAACAATAGAGAAATAATGTTTTATAGGCGTTGATAATTTTTAATTCTCTGGGACCACATAAAAACTGGTTACGACTTACCTTTAGTCCATTCTACTCGATCACTAATATAGGTAACCCTAAACATATCTGATGCTTTAACTGGGACGTTTGCTGCAGTTTTCTCGTTGTAACGCTCAAGTATTCTATAATTACAATAAAAAATTTAGTCCATCTTACGATGAAGATTGAAAGAAATAATTATTGTTCTGTCATTTACCTTGTTTCTCCGTTTGATTGTACAGGTCTCATATCTTCAACCATAAAATTATTCAATGAGAGTATTAACATTCTTTCAGATTTAGTCTCAGTAAACTGTAAGCTAAAACCAGATGATTCCAATCGTAGCAAGCAAAACTCTGATAATCGCTTAAATGCTGACGGTCCTCCAGTATTCTAATATTAGTTCATATTCGGTAAAGAATGAATTAATATGATAAACGTACTGCGCCATAGAACCGGCATTGTTCATAATTTACGGTAGATAACCGGTAGTGTTACTCAAAACAATATGAAGTAAAGAAAAACTATGACAGCTCTCTAATCTACACAGCAGTCATCTTTCAGGAATATTTTGGATTACCAAGGTTTTAACTTCGTTATATAACGTCAAATTTATTTTTGTAGCTTTGAAGTCTAATGCAATTTCATTGACTTTCGCTGGTTTGTCTGTTGAATAAATTAAAGTTTGATTAATACATGTAAGAAAAGTAAAATGCAAAACCAATATTTTTCACCCTCAATTTGATCAAAACTTTCAGATTCGTTATCAGTAGTGGGATCTGCTTGCGAAGGATCTTTATGAAATACACCTTCCTTTACATTATTTTCCAGAATGGCAAGCGCTAAGGCAATATCTTTGTCACCTAGAAAGATCTACAGCCAGTTTCTTATAAATATTGTGCGAGAAGTGGCAATATAGTAGTAAGAAATTGACAATCTTATAAACCTCAAATTCTTCCAGTTCACCATTGATCGTAATTGGAGTTATAGCATCATACCATGAGGTAGATAGATTTCGAGTAATTAAAATTTTTAAATCCGCTTGCGGAATAATTTTGCATTCGTGAAGCACATCAAAATCTCCCTCTAGTGACATGAATACTCTAACAAAAAGTTAAAATAAGTAACTGTCAATATTCGTTACTGAAGCGCCAGGTACTAATGAAAAGATCGCAAGAAACTAAGTGCATCAATATTTTTACGATTAATTTAGACGTTGTGGCTTATACAAATATTTTACGCTTTGCTACCTGGATAACTTTGTAGCGGTTAGCTTTATTTCCATAGCATCTAATATAGGTATTCTGTCAGTGTAATTTTTACTATCATCCGCTATTTTAAAGCTATTCCTAATTGTTAAACGACCAAGATCAATCAGGACTGCATCATGACTCGACGATGATTGAGGAATAATCAAGATTGGCGCTTTCATTGACACATTTAAGCGAAGACGGGTTTCATGAGATCGTAAATTCTTGACCTAACAATTAAATTAAACGTAGATTGAGAATCCAGATTACAGACATTATCTTGCAAACAGTTTTCGTCGATTACAGTTTTCATGGCTGTTTGGAGAGCCCTTTTTCTAGCGGC